CAGAAAACTCCACCCACAGGTAATGCTGACAGAGGCCTCAAAGTGGCAGAGCCAGTTACCCATGGACTAAAACCTCTGTAACCATGAGCCAAGCTGTGGCCTTGGATATTTTGTCATAGTGGTGGAAAAGTCACCGACATATGTCAACAACACTTGCATTCTGCAGGAGATATCCCAGCACTGTGAGATGTAACAGGTCAAACTTACAAGGATGCTGATCAAAGGCTCAGGTATAAAACCCGCCACACAGCATGGTGAGTGTTGTGTTTTGCTTTTCTGTTGCCATGGTAAAACAGCAGGGGCCAAAGCCACTCAGGGGCAGGGGTGGCTTATTTGGCTTACAGGTTGCAGACCATAATCAATCATCGATTATGGAAAGCCTGAGCAGGGACCAAACCTGAGACCCAGGAGGAGGTCCACCTACTGGTTTGCTCCCTCCCGCCTGCTCAGATACCTTCTTACACAACCCACCTGCCTAGAGATGGTGCCACCCACAGTGGGCTGGACCCTGCTCCACCAATTAGCAAGTAAGAAAATAAATACCCCCACAGACATACCCACAGACCAAGACACAATTCCTCAACTGAAATTCCTTCTCCCCAGCTTTGTCAGCTTGGCAACCGGAATTAGCCATCACAATGACGAGGAACTGTCACGTGAAGTGTCAAGAGCAGATTCTAAGTGTCACACACACACACACTGGTAACTACAGTGGGTGTGTGTAGGCCATGTTTGTAGAGACCGGCACTTGGTGAGTATGTGTGTCAATCAGTACGCTGCATATTAGCATTCTGACTTGTCAAGTAAAGATGAAGAACTGCCCTCAAGTTAAATTTCACATTTTATCACATGCTTGCCGTTGCAAGGGATGAGCGATAGAGTTGAGGTCCTTTTCCCAATCTCCAGTCCCCTCTCCTTCCTCCAGAATATCTTTATCCTGTACCCGAAGCTGACTGGGGAGACAGTCCCTCAGCCAGTCTTTGAAGAAAGGTGTGCTGGTGTGTTTCCCAATGTGGGGAAGCAAGTATTCCAGGGAGTCAGTTGGGCTGACCCAGGTAGAAGCCAGAAGTAGGGGACCGGAGGATTGGGTAGTTTGATTTGTTTGCAGGAAAACTAGTGCAGGGAGAGGAGGCTGGGGACATGCAGGAAGCCTGTGTGCATTTGGGTTTCTGAACAGGGGAAGGTGTGGGCATGTTAGGAGGCCAGACACGTGGGCAGAAAGTCTTGCCTTAGTGGGGGAGTAAGGAAGGTCTGAGCCCCAGAGGACAGCATAGGAGTGGGAAGGGGATCCAGAGGGGCCTTGCAGGGTGGAATATGGCACTGGAGCGCCCCCTCCCCACCCCGGAGTAGAAGCAAAGGAGAGCCCATGTGAATGAGTGGGCCTGTATGTGTGGCATGACAGGTTGGGCATTTGAGAGGAAGCCAGAGGCACCAGACGAGGCACCAGAGGACAGAGCCGAATGAATATGGGTCACCGGTAAGTGAGAGCCCAGGAGTCACCTGAGTAGGGGCTGGTTGAGATGCTTAAACCCTGACCCGGGTCAGTGTGCAAGACCAGAGTTCGTTGTTCCAGAGTGGACGTGTTGACAGAAAACAGAAAAGACTCGCGTGTGTGTACACGCCTCTGGAGACCACAAACATCTCAGTTTAGAAGAACCTGGAAGGGTTCTGCAGCATCCCCCGGAGGACCCAAGGGACCAAGAGGCAGGGCCCAGAGTTGAGACGCGCCTCTCGTCCTTCTGGAGGTCAGCTTTTTAGGTGGCTCCTAGTGGCGTCCATAAATCAGATCACTGAGGACATTCCAGAGGCCAGTGACACTGTTCAGGTTAGACTGTCAGATCTGTGCGGAGTACCAAGTCGCCAAGCCGCCCCCGACTCTGCGCCACTCCTCTACCCCCCTCCCCCGCCCCGCTCCTCCCTCTTCCCGGGCGGGCGGCGATTGGCAGAGATGCCCTTCCAGTTGCTAGAACACAATCCCAGCCCTTGACTCCTCCCACACCGTTCGTCCCGCCCTTTCCCGCCACCCTTTTAGGCTGAGAGCCAAGCGGGCCGGGCAGCGTCTCCATGGCGACGCGAGACGCGGGCGGGGGTGGCTGGTACCTGCTTGGTAGAGACGCTACTCCGGAGATCCTAGCTGAGACCAGATCATGTCGGACCTGGGCTCCGAGGAGTTAGAGGAGGAAGGAGAGAACGATCTTGGGGTGAGAGCTCCTGGCCAGGGAGGGATTTCTGGGGTGCGCCGCAGCTCCGGAGCGGGAGGCGTGGGGACCAGCGGGCCGAGAGGTCGCAGACAGGACCACGCCGGCCACACCGGCGGCGGTGCGTCCAGGAAGTCGCTCTGAAAGGTGAAACGCCGTGACGTCTTGTTTCCACCCCCCTCCCCGCTCCCATCCCGCCTCCCATTAAAGGCGAAGATTTCTAGGCAGAGGGCATGAGAAAAAGGATGGCGAAGGCTGTTTCCTGGCAACTCACTGCACGGTGCTGAGGTGTCCCGGGCTCTGAAGAGTTCACCACGTAGGTCTGGATCAGTTTCTCTGAACTGTCCCAAGCCACTGGGATCACTTTCCTAAGTGTAGACATTAGAGGAGAGGCAAAAGACTCCCAGCCAGCGATGTGCTCTGACTTGAGTGCCTTGTGGGCCGGCGGTTACTCCTTAAACAAGAGGTGACCACTCCCTGGCTGACAGAGTGGGAACAGGCTTGCTGTGTGTGAGCAAAGAGAGTTTGAGGATAAAGTGAAAACCCGGGCCCCTCCTATGTAATGCAGGGTTGGCACCTGCTCAGACCTCTTTGCTGGTTGGTCCCTGGCCATCACCTCTCAGCTTCTGCTTGCTCTATGCCCTGGAGCAGCCTGGTTAGTGTGAAGAGGCAGAAATGCCTAGGAGTCACGTGCTCCCAACAGCAAGGAGCTAGTGCCAAAGGCAGGCAGACTCTGGTGTGAAATCTAGGCTTCACAATCTCCATGCAATTAGTCGGGAGACTGGTATTTCACCTGAAATTGCTAAGTACATCCTGGCTTAGCTCCCTCCTTTTTAATAATCTAGCTGACCTTCTCACTGGTTTCTCGGGGTTCTACTTCTAAACGTTTCCAGGGCGATGGCTCAGTCTGTGAGGAGCTTGCTGCCCAACATGAAGACCTGAGTTTAGATTCTGCTACCATGTCAAAAACTGGGCACAGGAAGATCCCAGGAGTTCACGGGCTGGCCGGCTTCGCTGCCATAGGTGGGCTCCAGCTTCTGTGAGAAAATCTGTGTCAAAATATAAAGTAGAGAGGATTGAGGAAGACACTGCCTGTCAGTCTCTGGCTCCTACAGATGGGCATGGACATGTACTTATTCATACGCACGCACATACACTCACACACACACACAGAGGTCACTAATTTACGGTTTGCTTCTGCTCATATTCAACTTACATTCCTGTCCATCCAAGTTTCTAGTTTGTTCTCCACCTGATTTGTAACATGTTTAAGCCTGTAGGTATGAAGGCAGACCACCCGTGGATCAGCTGAAAGGATTTCTCTGCTCAGTCACCCCCACAGCTCAGTCAGTGTTGGGCAGGTTGGTAGGTCCCTGAGATGGGAGCAGGGATCCACCCCAATGGCTCAGCGTTGGCCATACTGGGAGGCCTCTAGGATCGGACCAGGGACTCTGCACATGTGTGTATTAGTTACTTTTCTGTTGCTGTGATAAAACACCGTGACTCATGGAAGGAAGAGTTTATTTAGACTTACAGTTCCAAAAGGATAAAAGTTCATCACGGTGGGGAAGGCATATAGATAAACAGCAGGTATGGGGGGAGGGGAGGGAGACATGGTAGCAGGAGACGGAAGCTGAGAGTGCGCGTCTTCAAACAGGAGCACAGACTGCAAGCAGAAAGTGGGGTGAGACTATTAACACCCCAAAGTCCGTCCCTAGTGACATACTTCCTCCAGCAAGGCTCTACCTCCCAAGGTTCCACTACCTCCCCAAATAGTGCCACCGAGTAGGGAATCAGTGTTCAAATGTCTGAGCTTAAGGGGACATTCTCACTCAAACCACCACATTGTGGTTTGAAACCACCCTGAAAACAATCTGTAAGGTCACAGGCTTATATTCTAGGCAGGAATTTCTGGGCTAAAAGGGGCTAGAAGAAGGCAAGAAATGCCTGCCTGTTTGTTTCTAAAGCCTTCCACTTGATGTCCTGTACCTGTAATAGACACAGGTCCAAGTTCACAGATCATGTTTTAAAATGTCTAAATGAATATGTTAATTGTGTATGTTTAAAGTATGCAGCATGATATTTTAAGCTAGCCATGTTGCACCATTATGGAATGCTCTGGCCATTATATTATGTACTATATGCACCGTACATCCATGTATATGAGCCAGAGAACACTTATTTCAGAAAGTACAGGAAAAGCAGGAGAATTGCAAGCTTGCATTACTTTTTTTATTTACTTGTTTTTGGAGTTGGGGCAGGGGTCTGCTATGTGGCTAGGTTTGGCCTCCAACTCATGGCTCAAGCAATCTTGCAATCCTTCTGCCTCAGACCTTATAAGTGGTACTGCTTGAGCCAGGCAATGGTGGCACACGCCTTTAATACCAGCACTCAGGAGGCAGAGCCAGGCAGATCTCTGTGAGTTCAAGGCCAGCCTGGTCTACAGAGCGAGTTCCAGGACAGGCACCAAAACTACACAGAGAAACCCTGTCTCAAAAACCACACACACACACACACACACACACACACACACACACACACACACACAGAACAAAACAAAACACAAGTGGTACTGCTTGCAAACATCTTTGTGTGTGTGTGTGTGTGTGTGTGTGTGTGTGTGTGTGTGTGTGTGTAAGGCGTGAAACCCAGGGTCTTGTATATGCTAGGCAGCCCCACTCACACTGAGCTCTACCCCAGTCCAATCTACTTACAAGATAGATTCATAGCTTTTTCAGATTGGGTTAGAACTGATTTATTTTTTTACTTTTTTTTTTTTTAAGATTAATTTATTTTGTGTGTATGGGTGTTTTTTTCTGCTTGTCTATCACATGGCATGCAGTGCCTGAGGAGGCCAGGAGAGGGCATTGAATCCTCTGGAACTAGAGTTACAGATGATTGTGAGCCACCATGTGGGTGCTGGGAACTGAACCCAGGTCTTCTGCAAGAGCAGCCAGTACCCTGAACCCCTGAGCCATCTCTCCAGTCCCAGGGCCAAAAGTGTTTGGACTGTAAGTCCTTTGATAGGGAGTCGGACAATAAGATTAGTGGAATCTCTGAGTCTCCTTCCCCTCTCCCTCACAGCAGAACTTCCCAGCAGGACACAGACCTCTGGCAGACCACAGACTCTCCAGCAAACCCATGAAGGAAGAGCCCTTCTCTTAGGGTATTTGCATTTTAAGTCCTGAATGATGGAGAGAGTGAAGAGGGAGGCGTCTGTGAAGGCTGGGGACCTGTCCCACCTGCATCAACTCTCTAAACGTATGCCTGTGGTGACTGCGCATCTAGCATCTTCCCTTCATTGGTTCATGTTCACAGTGTCAGGATGAGCATAATAAACCACGTGCTCAAATGCTGGAGGGAGCTCTCCCTCCATGGACACATGCATTAATTGTGAGACCTTGGACCGGGGCTCTGCCCATCAGGCTTGGTTACCTGCCTCACCAGGGCAATGTGACAGGTGAATACAGTGCCCAAGGTTGGGAGGCCTCAGTAGTACAATAGTTATAGAACGCTTGGCTCATGCGCAGGGGCTGTTGAACAGCAGCCACAATTGGCGTGTTTCTTTTGCCCAGGAATATGAGGGGGAGCGAAATGAAATGGGAGAACGGCATGGACACGGGAAAGCGAGATTGCCCAACGGAGACACATACGAAGGACACTATGAATTTGGAAAAAGAAATGGCCAGGTCAGAATTGGGGACCTAGGAAGCTGGTTTTCTCTTAAATATTGTCTTAGTACATGTCGGATTTAGGGCTGCTAAGAACTGTGTCATCGGTGTGTTTCAGGGGGTCTACAAATTTAAGAATGGTGCTCGATACATCGGAGAATATATTAAAAATAAAAAACACGGTCAAGGCACCTTTATCTATCCAGATGGATCCAGATATGAAGGTAACATGCCATCACCACGGAGAAGATTTTTGGTTTTGCTGTACACGTTGTTTCTGACATAGAGCTCATCTGCAGATACTAAAGTGTATAAGAGAGCTTAACGTTCACTAGATCTACCACTCAACAACAACAACAAAAATGTGTTCCTTCCTTCATTGTCATAGAGGCCAGAAGTCTTTTAAGTAACTAAACATGCCCTCCTGTAAGCCGAGACTTAGAGTAAGTGAAAGGGGGTTTCTGGGTGGGCACAGAATCTAGGTGTGGCCTAGACCCACGACAGCCTATGGCATCATTCCTCTGAAGCTGTCTTTGTTGTTTTCTGTTTTTGCCCAATCCCTCTTCTGATGGCCATGTTTCTTTAGACCATGGAGTCCCTTTATCCAGGCATTTTGCCTTACTGTGATGTCTTTTCCAGTCTCCCATTCCTTACATGCTAATGTCATGCCCCAGGAAGACTCTTAGCTTATTTCTAAGAAGCTCCGGTTCCTATGTACCTGGTGGGTACAAGTCTAATCCCAGAGCCAGGACAGGAGAAGGCAGGAAGTAGGCTGTGGACTTCAGAAAGGGTATGCTGGTTGGTATGTTTGGGTTTTCCTCTACTCTCTGTTTCTCCTGTCCCCAGAAAGGGTCTTCTAGTTTCCATCCGATTTCCAAAAAGATCTGTGTCTTCAGCTGTGACTGTGGGGACAGTAGGTGTGACTCTGTATGTCATCTCTCTGTCTCAGCTTTCTTATCTGTAGCATGCAGATGGGATAGATTGAAATGTGTGTAATGCCTATAGACATTCCTGCCTTGAGGGAAGAGCTTGTTGGCAAGGACCATGATGCACTTTACGTGACAACCTCACTTTCTAATGAGGGTGACATAGCCTTAAAATGCGAGCTAACTAACACCTGAGATGTTCATCTTCAGGAAAGGAAGGCTTATTTTTACTTTTAGAGATTTTAAGATTGGGTTATTTTTATGTGCATGGGCGTTTTACAGGCATGGGTATTTTACCTGCACATACACCAGTGAAATACGTGCATACGTTGTCCACAGAGGCCAGAAGAGGGCATTGGAGCCCCGGGTTCTGGAGTTATAGATGTTTGTGAATCACCATGTGGGTGCTGATTTGGGTCCTCTGCAAAAGCAGCAAGTGCTCTTAACCGCTAAACCATCTCTCCATCCCCCGATTTTAGTCTGTAAACATGTGAGCCTGTGGCAAGGCAGAGAGCATCATGGTGGGAGTCTTCCATAAACCCAGCTGCTCGCCTCATGGTGGCCAGGAAACAGAGGGAGGAGGGATGGGCATGTCCCCAGTGACCCAGCTTTTTTCACTAGATTCTATCTCCCCAAGGTTCCACAGCTCCCAACAGTACAGTAGTTGGGGACCAAGCCTCTACACATGGCCTTTGGGGGACACCTATCCAGACCACAGCAGCTACCCGCCCTGCTTCCAGATAAAACTGAAACTAACAGACAGCAAAGGAAGGGGCTTCTCCTGGACTCCGAGATGGCGCAGAGGCGTTTACGCCTCTGCGTTAGACGTGGAGCTTAAATTGGTTTGTTCCTAACCCTTATCGGACTTGGTCGACAGAAGCGCCGTCTGCTTTGTAACGAGCTTTGGACGATTCGATTCGGGGCTTAACTGAATTCCTCCCAGACCCCTGGGAGCCTAATCTTGTTGTCACTTTTGATCTCAGGGTAGATGTTAATACAATTTGGGTTTCATATAAAGTACATTAAAAGGGGAGGGTCTTAGGAAGTCTTTCTCTGAAGCAGGGTTGGGGATTTTATTAAAGATATTTTAATATAGACTTAGGCATGAAGATTAGGAGACAAAGAGGTCCTCTTTGGTAAGACATATCCAAGTGTGGGTACAGCGCCTCCCCACCGAAGGGAAGAGGCGTCAGGAATTCTTCACGTGGAGATGCACCAGCTGAAAAGTCTACGCACAAGACCTGTGAGCTCAAGCATGGGTATCCACACCAAGCAATCCCCCAGCTCTGCCGACAATGGCTTTCCAAGGAGTCGGTTCAATCGGGGCACCAGCTACCATAGCCTCAGGGAAGGCTCGTCCTTACAAGGCTGTCCCCCGACTCAGATGCAGTGGTCATGCTAGAAACTCCCAGGCTGCTCACACTTCTGCCCCAGTTCCTTGCTAACTAGGTGGTCCCCTAACCCTATCTCCGGGCCAATGATCTTCTCTTACAGCTCACAGAACTCACAGAAACACTGTTAATTGTTTATTATAAAGGAAACCACAAATAATACTGGTGACTAGTCAGATGAACGGGTATGTAGTGTGAGTTCTAGAAGGGTCCAGTGTGGGCTTCTGTTCCTTAGAAGTTGGTGTGCATGGCCATGCTGGCATATATATACACTTTCCGAAACCCCAAGCCTCATCAAATCTCACTGTTCAAGGGGTTTTAAGGACTTAATTGGCAGGTACCTCCTCCCCCATACTCGAGGTCTGGTGAGGAGACCAAGAATGATGAGAGTAAGAAAGAATTGTTTAATAAGTTTCCAAAAAAGGTTAGATGTAAATTGAAAGCAGGAATCATATGTTTCTAAATGCCATTCAGGAGCCTTGATTCCTGGCCACTGAAACCTGAAGCGGGTGCAGGCCCCCTTCCTTTGAGCAACTCTGCTCCATTGCACAGGGTTTCCTAGGCTGAGCGGAGCCTCCCACAAGTTTCTCAGGTGGTGTAGCCTGTGCTCATGGGTCCTCACCAACATGAAATCTAGCGTGTTTGCAGTTTAACTGTCCTCTTTCACTTCTGAAAAGTTTCTGTAAAACACACAATGTTTTTCTTGTCACGCCAGCCTGGAGCCCGGCTCCCAAGGGCGAGAGAAGAGAGATGGGTTCCTTTTGTTATGATCTTTTTTTGGGGGAAGGAAACCATCTGAAGTAACTGTTCCAGCTGTGGCCGCTTTGCCCCAGGGTGTGCTAGAGCAGCTCTGAGTAGCTCACGGTAGCCAATTTTGCACTTCTTGCAGCTCCATAAACAGCTCCAAATTGGCCTCAGTGGGAATATTCCACCGCAGAAACTGGCGGATGCTGCAGACGCAGATACGATGCCGCTCTGAAGGTCCAGGACAACCCCCAGATCTTTGGCCATGGTGTGCGCTGTCCCACGATTACTACAGACCTGGCACCAAATGTATATTTTAGTGAATGATCTTAATTTTTGGATTCTCCATCTCTCTTGCTCCGGTCCCTGTTTCGCATCTTATTGGGGGACCCAGTCCTCTTTCTGAACCCCTAGCAGTCGCCATTCCCGTCTCTCTGTGTGTGTTTGGCGAGGCCGCTATGTGCTGAGCTGCCGTTCACCTTTGAGGTCCTGTTCTTGCCTCCTGCCCCAGGCTGCCGATCACATCCTTTTGGGTCTCTGTCTTCATCTGGTGTAAGCCTGTGGGGGTCCTCTGCTGTCCATTTCTGCAGATGTTCTAGTTCACAAGGCGGCCAGGATGTTTTGTGAGCAAATATTGGAGAAGGGAGGCAAACTCTATAGAATTCCTAGTTTTGGAAACACCTTGGGATTTGTTTGTGGAAATGGATAGTTTGGATAATTAACATTTTGTTAGCATTGTGTATGTTCCCTTCGTGGATGTGGAAATGTCTCTGGTGTTTGTGTCAGCCAGAAGTTTACACACACTCTAGGGTCCTCTTTAAGGAAAAGGATATAGAGTTGCTATAAAAACGAATTTTCGTTTGTAATGGGGAATTGAAATAAACTGAACATTTTAAAATTAACAATGTAAGTGCCATAAACAACACAGAGCTTAAGAAGGCATCCTGGGGTGTATTTTTAATTAATGGCCGACATCCTCGTAGAATTCTGGAGTGGCTCTCCTTCACCTGTTTTGGCTTTTCTTTAGCACTGGGATCGAATCCAGGGCCTCCCACGTGCAAGGCAGGCGTCTTCCGCCGGTGCTAGCCAGTAGTCTTCCTACAAGAAAACAGTTGGCGTAGTTTTCTGTAGAGAGACTAGAAGACGAAAGCATCCTTTTTCTCTTGAAACAAACTGATCTCGATTAGTTCTTAATTACTCGTTCCGTTCTAGAAAGTTCCATCCGGGTAGTAGTCTAGAAAGTTGTATCCGGGTGCTGATTTGCTGTTGGTCATATGTGATCGGTAACGTCCACCTTGGGTATCCGCTGGTTGGTTTCCTCTCCGCGGGAGCCGTACGAGTTGAAGAGTTTTGGAGAGACTGATGTCAAATCCCCTTTGGCTGGAAACAGTTTGCTGCCAAGCCAAGCGTTCCGAATTCCGCTCTGGTTTTCCAGTGTTAGGGTTTTCTGCCATGTGCGTGAGAAATTAGCAGGACCTACCCACATGCAGGGGAGTGGCCAGGCTCCCCAGGCCAGGAAAGGTAGAGCGAAGGAGTTGGCAAGAAGGCGTCAGCCTTGGAACCAGGTACCCAGCTGGGAGACCGAGTGAGTGCTGAGGCTAGACCATCAAGGCTTGGAGATGCTGCTGAGTTGCCAGGTACCTGCAAGGCATGTGGAGGATAGCTGGGGTCAGTGGCAAAGGGTCAGACAAGCTTGTCTCAACCCTGACCTCTCAAGCCCACCAACCTGCAAAAGCGTGAAAACGTCTGGGGCCCACCTCACAGGCCTACACCCTCCAGATCTGTGTCCCCGGGCTCCTAACTCGGCCCTCCTTAGCTAGCTCTCCCTGAAGCTGGCCCAAGGGGAAGGGAAGGTGGATGGAGGGGAGTCAGAGAGGAGAGGGGCAGCAGGCTTAGCTCTATGGTTACAACGCTCTCTCTTTTGCAGAACACATTGCTTGGATCCTCCTGGGCTAGCAGGGGCCACAGCATCAGTCTGATCTTTTCATCTGACTTTGCGTGTGTGTTGTCCTTTGTAGGGGAGTGGGCAGATGACCAGAGGCATGGCCACGGCGTGTACTACTACGTCAATAACGACACCTACACGGGGGAGTGGTTCGCTCATCAAAGGTTTGGCTTCTACCTGTAGTCTTTGGGGGTCCATTTGCGGGGTAAGAACAGGGTAATGCCTACTGAAGGCAGTCCCATGCTGAAGGGCAGGTGTGTAGGGGAGGCGCCGCTGAGAGCGGATGAGGAGGGACGACTGTCTCCCCGCAGCGGGCCAGGACACGTGGGTCCTCCACCCACAGCCCCAGGGAAACCCTGACTCTGCCCGGGGAAATCGGTTCACGGGCAGGCCGCTGGCCTCTGTGGCATCAGATGATGCTGGCTCCACGTACCCTGTGTAGGTGGCATGCCAAGTCTTCAAGTGGACACAGATACTGGAAACCAGTTGCCTATAAGCTGGCATCTACTTACGTCCCCCTCAGCCTTAGGGTCGGTGCTCCATAGCGGACAGTAACCAGGTGCCCTTGTCTCGTCTTTGCCAGGCATGGGCAAGGCACCTACTTCTATGCAGAGACAGGCAGTAAGTACGTCGGCAGCTGGGTGAACGGGCAACAGGAGGGTGCTGCCGAGCTCATCCACCTGAACCACAGGTACCAGGGCAAGTTCCTGAACAAGAACGTAAGTCAGCGTGCCATGTGCTAACATTAAACACTCAGAGGAGTCCTTCCATTACCACCAGCTGAGGACAGCTGCACCACTCCAAGCTCTTCGATGCCCACCGAGTACAGAGTCGGGTGGGGTGGAGGCAGAAAGCTGGGCCTGTTTCCCGGGGCCCCAGTGGCACCCTGTATCTCTATTAAGGCCAGCACCCTTGGTACCAGGGCATCTTCTGCTGGCTGTGTGTGCTCTTGCCCTCTGGTAAACCATGTTGAATGGGAGGGGGATCCCAGAGCTCCCCCCCACCCCCCATGCCAGAGGCCAGCCTGCCACTCCCAGTTGGGAAGGCTTTAAGGGCCCAGAGTGATTGCCCTGGGTCTGGAGACATGTTCACAGGCTGCTGTTTGGTGGGCTCCGGCTTTGGTGACGGCTTTGCACAGAGGGAGGAAGATGGGAGATCTCAGTAGTTGCGAGCTTTCGAGCTTTCTCCCCAGGCTTTCCTGGGAGCCGCCGCAGCCCGCTCAGGGCTGGAGGGAGACTCCCCAGAGAGAGTTTGCTGAGCACACTGACTGGGAAGTTGACAGGGGGTATGGCTAGCTACTTTCCTCACTCCCCCTTCAGACTCTCCACATGCCCCGGTTCATTTACATGTAACTTGAGCCTCAGCTGTTGGGGAAATCAATAAGCTAGACTAGACAGTCTGAAAAGGGAGAGGATACCTGGAGGCTTTGCTCTGTCAGTCAGTAAAAGGCTTACAGTTATACAAAGCACAGAAGAATGCCCACACTGTAACGTGTCCTACGCTAGCATCCCCCTCCCCGTGGCTGCCCCTTCCCTGCTCCTCCCTCAGAACCTCTGTACGCCACATGCACACACACACTTACACATCAGCTTTCGCAGAATCAGTTTTGAGAGTTTGTCAGGTACCAGGATGCAGAGGCACACCTGCTATCTATCATCTTGCACATCTGGGCATGTGGGATAAAAATGCAGAGGAGGCCTCCGGGTCTAGACAGTGCTCCTGCCCTGCCTGGCTCAGCAGGCCATACCGAACGGTCCTCCATGCTGCCTTTCTGTTCTATAACTCAAGCAAGCATCTGACTCCAGACACCAAATCCCTAGCAGGTTTTCCAGGTGCAGAGTGAGGGCATCCCCTCTGCTCTGACCCTTAAAGGGAAAGGAACTTTGAACCAGCCTAATCTACGTTTGGTTCCGTGTTTCTGCTTTTGTTAGCTCCCCGGTTAACTTCCTCCACTCACCCAACCTGAGCACAGGTTACACCTTCTAGACAGGGGCGGTGCCTGACCCTGGAATGAAAGCCAGTAGACTGAAGTTGGTTGTCATTCTGTCTTTGAAGAAATGCATCTACACGGAGTCCTTTCTGTGTGATAAACAGCATGTCCAAATGCAAGCTGGGGAGGAAAGGGTTTGTTTCCTCCCACAGGTCCATCATTGAGGGAAATCAGGACAGGAATTGAAGGAGGGTGGGGACTCCAGCAGGGCGAGAGCTTGACCCAGAGACAACGGAGGAACACTGCTCACAGCCTCGGTCTCCGGCCATGTTTGCTACCTTTCTTATACGGCTCCGGCTGACCTGCCTGGGGATGATGCTGTCCACAGTGGACTGGGCCCTCTTACATCAATGAACAGTTAAGAAAGTGCCCCACAGACATGCCCCACAGGCCAATCTGATGGAGGCGCTTCTATACTGGAGGTTCCTCCTTCACAGTTGACAGCCAAATACTGGGACTGCTGAATGTAAAGAGCTGATATTTTGAAACACCACAAACACTGTCCGTTGTCTTGAAAAGCTGCACGACTTTATCCCCTCACTAACAGAACCTGAGTCCCATCACAGGTTCTCAGGACATTGGATTTATCTGCTGCATCCTTTGCTTTTTTCCCTCCTCCAATCTGATATGCAAACATTTTGTTTTTTGAAACTGTGTGTTTCCCTGGTTACGAGCGGGGTCAGGCATCTTTCATCCTCTCAGCACTTGGTTGTGTTTCTTTCTCAGAAACCCCCCCCCCCCATCCCTGTCCTTGCTGACAAGTCATTAAAGCAGGGTGAGGAGGGATGGAGATAAGGAGGGATGGAGAAGGCAGGCAGACTAGAAAGAGATGAAGTCACCGAACACTCGGTCAGGACATGGCTGGCAGCTAATGAAGACATGAGGGGCAATAATGGGTCGAGGAACTAGATAACTAGATAAGCCCGCCCAAATCACATCACCCGGCAAAGTCTGGGGAGGTGACAGATGCTATTGTCAACAATGGCTGAGGGAGCCACTACCGGTTGTATTTTTAAAAGTCTAGTTGCTCTATCACTTTATAAAAGGGATAGGGAACAGTAAAATTAGTCCATCCTTCAGCAAAGAGAGAAAGGAATTTTCTGGAAGGAATATTTAAATGTCGCCATGAACAAAACTAATCAAAAGAGGTGACATCTATGAATGCAGAGATGAGGAAAGAGTCCCTAAACAGACTCACAAAGGAAAAATGGATTTAGTTTCCTAAGAAGGAATGTAATGACTAGAAAATTGAAAGCCTAGGGTGGCGGTCGGTGTATGCCGACAGCGAAGAGATTGTGAGCCAGCCTGAGCTACGGAGCGAGACACAGGGTCAAAACACAACAAAACAGCATGTTCGTGCTAACGCTTGGACAAGGAACGGTGTCGGCATGGCAACGCCGAGCATCGGTCAACAAGGCACATTACAATTCGTGGTCCAAGGTGAACGCAAATGTCAGGTTGACAACTGGTGATGTGGGAAACATCTGTAAGGCCGGGGAGTGGCTCACACTCGGTTTCTAAGTCAAAGTGGCGACGGTGCGTGTCATCATTTTTTTTTGAAAAAAAAAATCTCCTGGGGGGCTGGTGAGATGGATCAGTGGGTAAAGGTGCCTGCTGCCAAGTCTGACCACTTGAGTTTGCTACCCAGGTCCCACACGGTGGAAGGAGAGAACTGACTCCCGCAAGTTGCTCTCTGACTGTAACACATGAACTGTGACACCATGTGCACCCCACACCCATCAATGAGTAAACAAATTATTTAAAAATGCTTGGCACTAAATCCAGTGTTACAGCAAACAGATCAAAGCGCTGGTGGCCAGCCCCTCTCTAGCCAGTCTGCCCATAGGCACCGATTCATTACAGGTTCTACAGTGGATAGATTCCTTACTCCTTTTCAATGCAGTAAAAACATGGCTGAGACCTTCAAAAACAAACCCTTGAACAGTTCCGCCAGCTGTCAGTCAACGGAAGCATTCTGTAACCCTTCTCAGACTCTGCACGGTGAGGTCATTCGGGGTGAGCTTTCTGGGCATGGCACTTAGGAAGCGTTTTGTACTTTCTATTCGACATTGACCATGAAGAGTAAAAACGCACTGAGTTCCTTTCTCCCTACAGCCTGTTGGTCCTGGGAAGTACGTCTTTGACATTGGATGTGAACAGCATGGTGAATATCGCCTAACAGACGTGGTAAGTCGAAGAATATGACTGACTCTGTTTCCAAGGTCCAATATCAGCCCAGTGACATTGACCCTGCTAGGTAAAAGGTGATTGGCGTTGAGCATGCTCCTAGGCAGCTCAGCTGCCAAAGTGATCGATGCCATTTCACAATGCCTGCCGGAGTCAGAGCTAGATTTTGTGGCTAGGAACTGGCTAACCCTTGAGTTCTGGCAGGTGTCGGTCCCGGAATGGCATCTGAATGCTGTAACTGTCAGCAAGAATGTCAGGTGTCTGTTCACGGCTCATGGTTGACCGTCTCTTAAAGCCTGGTTAGTAAGTCCCTTTGCTACGTTTAGCACAGATGTTAATACCAGATTGACTTTCTCTGGCTGGCATCAATGTTATCATTCTTAGGCATTCAGGGACAGTGCGTGTGAGGGGTGTGTGTGTGCTCCGGATGTGGACGCTCAGGGACAGTGTGTGTGCGGGGTGTCAAGTGATGAGGCATCAGGTGTGGACTGCTAGCTGCTGAAGGAAGGGACATCTGCCACTTGGGGAAGGTTCACCTACTGCTGGAGCACAGGTGCGTTCTTTGGGGATGTTCTCAGAGTTTGGTCCTTGGCTCAGCAGCCTGAGGGTCACTTGGGAACCTATGCAAATTATTAGGCTGCAATCCTGACCGTCTGAGTTAGAAGCGGCGTGGGTGGGGGCCAGCATGTGTGTTTGAGAGAGCCTTCTGGGTGACTCCTAGCAGGGCAGGCTTGGGCACCACTGGCCTTGAACACTTGTGTCTTCCTCGCGAATGGAAAAATTCATTTCTGAGTGAATGAGCAGACATTCCCACCCGTGTCCAGGAGGTTTTGCTGACTCTTTAGGTTGATGTTCTGATCTCTGGAACGTTTAAAAAGCTGCAGAATTGAGGAGTCGGCAGATACATTTGAAAAAAACCGATGCATGCTGGCTCCAGTTCCCTGTAGGAATTACGAGTGTTGACCTCCCAGCTCTCTTTTGTTGAATTTGATCTCTGGACCCATGCCAGGAGAGCCCCTGTGTTTGTGCATTTCCCTGCCATCATAGGGACATCTTGGGCTTTAGGTCTTTACCTCAGTGGATGTTGCTTGGGACTGGAGAGTGGAGCAAGGCTTGAAAAGCGTGTCTCGTCGGTTATCCTCAGTTGCTGAGGGACATGCCGAGCCTGAGAGCCCCTCACAGTGTCTTGGCTGTGCTCTGTGGCTTCCTGACTTGTCTGGCTCATGCTAGATCTGTCTTCAGCCCTTAGATGATGCCACCAGTAGTCACACTTGTTCCAGTCAGGAATGGTGTCGCCGAAAGTCTCAAGTCCCAGTTCAGAGCCCATCTTTGCCCTGTGCTCTTTTAATATTCCAGACCAAATAATAGTAATGTCGATGACTTTGTATTTTTGCACTTAAAATAGGAAAGAGGAGAAGAAGAGGAGGAGGAAGAGACATTAGTGAATATTGTTCCAAAATGGAAAGCTCTGAAAATCACAGAATTGGCCCTGTGGACGCCAACCCTCTCCGAGGAGCAGCCTCCTGCTGAGGGGCCAGGCCAGGAGGAAGCACCCGGAGCTGCTGGTACGGAACACTCCAGGGTTGTCAGGGCAGGCATGCCTGGGTTGCCAGGTCAAGGGCCCCAGGGTTGTTAGGGACATGCACACCTGTCCTCAGATCTAGTGTAGCTGATCTCTCTGGGAGATGGCCTCTGGGTCAGTTTGGGTGCAGGATGCTATAAGTACACGTGTTTGGGATGGGAGTCCCCCAGGGAGTAGAGGGGAAGAATGCAGATCAGCTGGATGGAAGAAATGTCCTGCTATGATGTAGGCTTAGCCACCTTGGGGGATTCCCCAGTAGCCAGAGTTTACTTGGCAATGCCTCTCTGTAGGCGTGACTTGGGTTGGGTAGCCAATAGCAAATGGGGTCCCATGTCCCTGTTGGAAGAAGGATCGAGGCAGCAGCGTCTCTCTGTATACGTTTTACAGTGGTCTTGTGGAGAGAGTTGGGAGATGGGGCGGGGTGATCTGATGGCCAGGCCTGGGCTCGAGCTTGGAGGCTGGGAAAGGAGGCCCTGGTGTCAGGAGCAGGAGACCCACTTGACACACATATCTGCACTCATGTTCCCTGGTGACCTCCTCCTGTCATCCATCATTGTCCTCATCCCAGGTATGGGTGACACCTCAGAAGAAGCCCAGGCTCTGGCAGAAGGTTTTGAGGGTGAGATGGAGAGGACCGGTGAGGACGACATCGACGCCCTCAGGCAGGAGAGCCGAGAGAACAGTTACGACATGGACCAGGGTAAGAATACATCCCCAAGTCCAGCTTGTCTCCCAGTCGAGCCTGTCCATGGCAGGAACTGGCCTGGTGTGACTGGTCCCTTATTTATTTATTTATTTATTTATTTATTTATTTATTTATTTATTTGGTTTTTCGAGACAGGGTTTCTCTGTGTAGCTTTGCGCCTTTCCTGGAACTCACTTGGTAGCCCAGGCTGGCCTCGAACTCACAGAGATCCGCCTGGCTCTGCCTCCCGAGTGCTGGGATTAAAGGCGTGCACCACCACCGCTGCCTGGCACACCTGCACATTTGTATACAGCTCTGGGTCTCTGGCACACTCAGTGTGGAGTAGAGGGGCAGGGATCTCATCCAGAGCCGCCCATGTCCACAATTTCACTCTAGAGTGTTAGAGACCATCACCGTGTCCCCCAGAGAGGTAAGAACTCATCGGGAACAAGAGCAGGAACTGTTTCCAGGAAGGGTCAGCTTCAGATGAGTGGAAAGGCTGAGAGGCAGCGAAAAAGGGCAGAATGGGGGCGAGAGGAGACTCCAGACAAAAACACGACCTGAAGCCTGGGGGAGTGTGGGGGACGAGGTCACAGCTTTCTCGTGCACTCTTTCTTGACGTCTCATGGTGGAACTTTGGACTGGATCCTCAGCTCTGTGGGTGTGACCGAGGGGCCTTTGGGAAGCAGAAGCCTCAGGCTGGGTGCTCGAGAACCAGGGGGACCAATGGAAGATGCGTAGCCCAAAAATCGATGTGGGAGAAAGAAAGAAGGGGATGGAGATGGAGATGAGGAATGCTTAGGACCAGGTCCAGGGAGACCGGGCTCAGTGGATGATGTCTGGTCCCCGAGTAAGAGTAGGAGCCTTAGCTCGGGAGCTTGTCCCTGAGTCCTTAGCTCAGGGACCTGAATGCCTGCAGAGAACAGAGCTAAATGCTTAAACAGTTGTAATCGTTTTTTACCACTAATTTCTATGCTTCTCTCGTGTTTTCTTTTCTTCCCAGGAAACACGAACTTTGATGAAGAGCAGTTAGACCTCCAGGAGTAAGATGGAGGAAGTGGAAGAACACAGACACACCAGCCGTGCCTTAGTTTATTCCAGGCAGCTGGGGCTAGTACCAACCAGCTGTCAATCTTTCTCTCTCAGTTGTTGTTTTGCAGTTGGAAATAAATCTCCCAGTGTTCAGTGTTTGTGAAGGCGCCTCCGCCACAGCATCTGAGGGCTGGTTTCCAGCTGCTCACGGGCACCACTCCTTGAAGTGTGGTGTCAACGGGTGTGGACTTCAGGTACGCACCTCTCACAAAACACTGGGTCTGGAGTGTGCCCCAGGCTCTGTAAGAAGGCCAGCTGCCTGCATCCTCTGCCCTCTTCTTGGATTTCCATCTCCCAGCAAGGTCTCTGCCACAGGCTGAGCGAGGCCACTCACAGGCATTGGTAGTGAGCGCCCCCTGCAGGTTCCTTGGCAACTGCAGTTTCCTGCCTCGTTTGTGGTCCAGTGCCATATGGACTCCCACCTGGCGTCTCCCTTCCCTCCCTGGAGCTGTTCCCTTTCCCCAGCATTGTTCCCGGGGGCTAAAGCAGAAGCCCGGAGGTCCCATCCCATCCAGTTTCACCTCCTCTTCCTCGAGTTGCTCAGAAGGGAAGTTTCTCAGAAGGGAAGTTGCTCAGAAGGGAAATGCTTTATCTAGCCCCAGTAAGATGGAGGCAGTCAGTTCCAGTGTTGAGTCAGGTCTCTGCCCACAGCGGGGCAGGCTTCCCAGCTCTCCAATACTGCCCAGTGCATTTCTTCTCATTATCCCCTAGACTCTAGGGGATAGGATGCTAGGGAATGAGAGTGTCGCCTGTAAACAACCCATCCATTTTCCCATCTCTCATTTCCTGGAGACATCGCAGCAGAAATTTGAAGCATTTTGGTTTCATTAGGGCTGACTCCTCCTAACTCAGGCCTCAGTGAGTAAAATGAAGTACTGTGCGCGTCTCTCGATATTTGAGTCACACAGTAAGTCTTAAATCCCAGGTGAGGATGCCATGTCAGAATAGCCTACCCACTAGCTCCTCAGGTCCTCAGCCCCCTAGAATCACCCCACTCAGGCTCCACACTCTGCACACTCTCGGATAGGCATGCTGCAGCCGTGATGGCCAGTGCTTTGACCTCCTCAACAGACACCTAGCCACCACGAACAGCGAGGGACTGTGACACTATGGCATGCTGATGTGATACCTGGCTTTTGTGGAGGCTCTCTGCACATGTGGGAAACTCACCTTCAGAGGAAGCATAGATAGCTGGTCACCTCTTGAGTTTCTGATTCACAAGGCTGGGAAATGTGAGTGTGTATTTGTTCAGGTTCCAGGGGTGCAGAGGCTTCTGGGTCATAGGTCACACTGGGTAGGAGGCCACTTTCCATAGTATACCATGGTCTAGTCCAAAAGCTGAGAAGGTCCAGACTGCAGATTCAGGCCCCCACTGTGTGGGAAGCCAGCTGGGGGTCTCTGTGTTATGCAATTTCTTCCTTGTGACTCTCAGAAGCTGTGTGAGGTGGTGCAGGAGAAGTCCTCAGAACACTGCACGTAAAGAGATGTGGACATTTATTGACACTGTGTGACTCCATCAAACTCCTCACAGTGGTCCTCAGAACACTACACATACAGAGATGTGGATATCTATTGACACCATGTGACTCCATCAAACTCCTCACAGTGATCCATGGAGCATCTGCTGAATAAAAGATTTATCGGAGAGGAATTTTCCACAATTCAGGTTTTTAAGAGTATATAAAAACGAATTACACAAATCGCTGGATTTTATGACCCTTAGGAAAATGCAAGACAAACATTTTTCATAAGTGCAAGAAACTTCTGGATTCTACAAATTGCAGGATGTGTTAATATCATAAAGCATGTTGTAACTTGACTACAGTAATTTCATTACCACATTAGAAGCAGCAGCTGAGACCGTACAATGTGCAATTATACTCAGGGATTATACTTATTTGCTTATTCTATGAGCACAGTTATGAAGCAGGCTATCATTAGGACACCGTGTTTGGAGATGGGGTGGAGGGTAGAAGATACAACATGGTCAGCATGGGGCATCCTGAGAGTGTGGCTCTCTATCTGCGTGTGTCAATACCAACAAGCCCCGAGTAAAGGAAGGAGGGGCAGAAGGATGGGAGAAGAGAGGTGGGGTGGGGGCCCCCGGAGTTCCTGACAAGGACTGAAAGAGAGGGGATGACTCACCCAAAACTCATGGAAGGACATCCCTGGACTTCTGGTGCCACGGCAGAGCCTGGCTCCCGTGTGGGACCTAACAGCATCCCTCCCAACTGCTCCTCCAAATAGCTCAGAAGTAGGGAGTCAGTCATTCAAATACTACAACAATCATGGACACACACAAGGGGCTCCATCATCGCTGTTGGTCATAGGACCATGGAATGAACCTCTCGGTGCTTCTCCAAGTGGGAGGCATGGATCATGCTAAAAGCTGCCCCTCCGCCGGGCCCACAGGGAGACTCAGGGCAGTTATCACCCGTCCTTCCCCCCAAGTACCCAGTTTCACAAAAGCATTGCAGTATTCCCCTTCCCTTTACCCATAATGATATCTCTCAAGAGCCCGGGGGGGTCTCGAAACCTTTGCACCAAACCTGCCTACACTGTTCTGTCTCTAACCCACATGTCTACGATGAAGTTGATCTTCAAAATCACATGCAATGAGTTTAACAATAGCTCCCGAAACAGAACAACCTCACTATTAATTCAGGTGGATGCAACATCCCACCTCCTTCAACATCTTGCACCGTGGTGTACCTTTGGGCCTTGAAGGATGGCAGCTAAACTCGCAGACACTGATGCCACAGATAGAGGGACCACAGTATCCTGAAGTATGTCTTATAGATGATAAAGCACATCCACCTTCCATGAGCAGTTTGCATGTCAAAATTTATCAATGAGATCACTCAGGCCTGTCGTTCTGTGTGGGACACTTTCTGCTAACGAATGTAAGGTGTTTCCGTGTGCTTTTCCAGAGCTGAGGCTAGAACCCATGGCCTTGTGCATACTGGGAAAGTACTCTACCACCAAGTCACTTAACTCAGATTTCTTCCCTCCCCTTCCCTCCCCTCCTTTTCCTCCCCTTGCCTCCCTGTTCCTTTCCTGTCTCTTGCTCTCCTCCCTCCATCCCTCCCTCCCTTCCTCCCTCCCTCCTTCTCTCCCTCTCTCTCTCTCCCTTCCTTCCTTCCTTCCTTTCTGTCTGTCTGTCTTTTCTTTTTGTTGTCAGGGACTCACTGTACAGCTGGGCGGACCTGGAACTCCTTGTATAGACCAGCCTGGATTGAGCTTCGCTGCTACAGCTGGGCGGACCTGGAACTCCCTGTGTAGACCAGCCTGGATTGAGCTTCACTGCTATTTTTTGCCTCTGCCTGCTAAGCTTTGATTGGCAGGCACATGGCCCACAGCAGCCCTCCAGTTCTTTTCCTCTCTGAATGTGATTAGCTGTGTCCTTAGGGGAATGCCTGTCTCAGGCAAGTGCCTGGTTTGTTGTTTGTTGGCATAAAGGTTTCTGGTGTTCTATTTTCACATCTGTGACCTCAGTGGTGATCCCGCTCTCTGTTTCTGACCATTTGGGCTGCCCTCTCTTTTGCTCTGATTAGTCTAGCTGGGGTCTAGAAGTTTTCTCGATCTTTTTGAAGCACTAGCTTTTGGTTTTTTTTTTTTTTTCTGTTTTCTATTGCGTTGATTTCTGCCCTGGTCTTTGAGAACTCCTTTCTTTTGCTCATATCGAATTACTATATTTTGCTTGTTATTTCTAGTTAGGGTGGTAAGGCCAAATATTTTAGGGTTCTTTTCCAATAATGACTTTTAGTGTGGTATTAATTTCTCTCTAATCCTGTTGCAATGACATCCCACAGATTCTGATAGGTTGTATTCCTATTCTCGATCAGTTCAAAGATTTTCCCCAGATTAAACAAAAAGATTTATTTATAGCGTGTGAGTACAAATGTGTGTGTTCATACTCTGCACGGCATGCCTGCAAAGGTCATAGGACAACTTGTGGGAGTTGGTTTTCTGCTTCCACCAGGTGGGTTCTGAGGATCAAACTCAGGTAGGTAGGCCTGTTGGCAAAGACCTCTAATGGCTGATCCATTTTCCCACCCCATTTTCCCCTTTGACTTGGCCTCTGACCCAGGAATTAGTTAGAGATGTGTTATTAGTTTACAAATAGGTAGATTTTCTTTTTACGTTTTCTGTCATCATTTCTAATCTAGTTCTTTCATGGTCAGAAAATGTATATCCCACAATTCAAATGCTTTTACATTTATTACAATTTTCTTTATAGCCTAGGATGTGGTCATTTTGGGAAACAAGCCATGTTGTACTTGAAAAGAGTGAATTTACCACCGTGTGGTGAGGTTCTCCATAAGTATTGATTAGGTCAAGTTGATTGGTAGTGCTTTCGGGTCTTTTATGTATTTATTGATTTTCCTTCTTTCCGTTTTTAGTGACTACTGAGCTATTAAAACCCATGAAAAATGGCTGCAGATTTTCCTACAGGTGGCGACAGGGTTTAGTGTCTTCTGTTGCCCTGTCACACATTTCTTAAAGACCATGATGAACACTTAGCATTGATTGTCATCTTGACCCAGCACAGAATCACCTGAAAAAGGAGTCTTGGCTGAGTCCCTGGCTTGATCAGATTGGTCTGGGGGCTCGTCTGGGTGGGAACTGGCCCAGCCCACCGTGGGCGGTACCATCTCAGGCAGGTGCTCCAGGGCTGTATAAGAAAGCAAAGTCTGAGCTGGGAGAGAGAGCCAGCATGCAGTGTGCCTCCAGATTTCTGCCTCAGGTTCCTGTCCCAACTTCCCTCAGTGATGGGCTGTGACCTGGAAGTGTAAGTCAAACAACACCATTCAACCAAGGAGGAGCTACTGAGCATTCAGACACAGCCTATGGGGGGCACATTCTAGAGTCCAGCATGTGCATCAGGGAAGGGTTCATATACTAGATCACAGAAGGATAGGAGGGACATTGACATGGAATATGAGGTTCCAGAAATGTGAAGTATCTGAAGTAGGGTGGAGGAAGTCAAACAAAATGGAGATATGGATAAATATTTTGGAATTCAAAACACCAAGGGTTCGAGTGTTTTCTCATAGCAAAGGAAAGTAACAACTGCAAGGAGCATGCCTTGTTTTATTCGCTTTATGGCTGCCTGCAGAGCATTGCGGTGGGTTTTTCTTTGTTTCCCCTCCCCTCAGGATTTGTGGCAATTTCACAACACACAAATCCATTGAAATCTACTGACAGCATTTCCCCAACAGCTCAGATGGTCGTTACTGTTTCTTTTCCAGCAATATTTTAAATTAAGGTATATACACTGTATTTTAGAACACCTCGCTATCCCACACTTAATAGAGAACAGTGTGGCATAGCTTTTGTGTTCGGAGGGAGACCAGAAATTCTGTGTGGTTCACTTTATTGCACCATTTGCTTTATGGTGGTGGTGTGAGAGTGAACCTGTAATAGTTCGAGGTGTGCCCGTGCATGTATTCTGTCCTCTCCTGGGAGGAGAGGAGAGCATGTCCCTGTGGGCCCTCTTTGCCCCAGAGCTGAAGTCTCTGTTTGCCGACGCTGGTTTGATACTTAGTATTGCACTGTATCACTTTGAAAAGGGTCGGGAGCTTTTTGTTACTGTTGCTTTTCCTGTGCTTAAAGTGTGATGTGTATGTACATGCTTGCATTCATGTATTCGGCAGGTTTAAAGTACATTTTACTTCAGGATGATTTTGTTCCTGAGAGAACAGCTACTGTCAATCACCAATTTCTTGGCATCCATCCTCTTTTGATACTCGGTCCTACTTCTTTTTCTTTCTAGCAGTATTGTTATTTACTGACTGATATGATTTAAGTTGTTTTTTAAATTAGCATTTATGTGTGTGTTGGTGTAGGCACGTGTGTGTGCATGCATGGGTGGACTCCAAAGGCGTCTTCCTTAAGAGCCACCTACCTTCTCTTTTGAACCTGGAGCTCACTGATCTTCCAACACAGCCAGCAAGCGCCCGAGATCCTCTCGTCACGCAGGCCTGGGTTCTGGGTGGAACTCAGGCCCTCGTGCTTAGGTGGCGCGTGCTTTCCTGATTGAGACATCCCTCCAACCCATATTTTTAATTAGCATGCAAAGTGGGCTCCATTGCAGCATTTTCAAGCATAACCTGTGTTCGTTCCCCCTCCCCCTCCTTCTTCTCCCCTTCGGCTCCCCCCTCACCACCCCCTTGTCCTCTTCCACTCCCAGTAGCGCCCTTTCCACTCTCGTGACACACGGCTCATCACCCCATCCCCCTCTTGGGGCCCCGTTCTATGGATATTAGCCCTGTTTCTTTCTCCTGGGCATCCAGCTTTTCACCATGACATGTTTGGCGCAGGCTGTCCCTGCTCACCAGACATTCCAGCAGTCTGACTGAGGTACCGCCTGCTGCTCTCAGGTCATGAGGGGTTAAAAGCACAAACCAAGAGGAGGTAAACGACACCAGGAAACCAGGGTCTGTAAAAGCCATTCTTGGTGTCTGCCTCTTTTCAGGAGCCATTTCTGAATTTCTTTTCCTTTCCTTTCCTTACCCTGAATTTCTGACTTCAACAAAATTGCTGTTTTACTTTTTTTTTTTTTTTTGGTATATGATTTTTTTTGCATCCCAAGGTGTAGAAAAATCTATTTTAGTCAATTTTCTCAAATCCCAGGTGGTACAGCCTTCTCCCTCCACAGAATTGATACTGCGTGCTGGCATTTAGCTACACTAGACTTAACACACCTGTTCACGGGTCGGAGAGGCACTCTAGAAAGTTCTGGGTAATCCAGCTGCCACATGAGCAGCACCAGAGCTGTTACCACAGCTAGAGAAGACAGTTCCATCCCCCAGTTGGCTGATTGCCACTCTGCGAAAACCCACGGAGAAGCTCCTGCTATTCGCCCATTTCCCAGACAAGGAAGTGGATTATAACAGATCAACATGTGTAGGTGAGGGCCAGGCTCTGGGCCTCTGAGCTGAACTCAGAGTTTCCTGATGTTGACACGTCTATTCTTAGAGACAGTAGAAGACCATGTGGTCAGATATGACCACTTCCCGTTCTCAGAATAACCTTTGCTCTAGTCAATAGCTGGACAGACAGCTTTCCCCGACTCCAAGGCCTGGTCCGTGCTGTGTGTAGTCACTCCCTGGTGTTTGTTAAAGATAGGCTCCCGGATCCTTGTAGATACCAAGATCCTGGGATGCACAAGATATTCCTATAGAATGGAGCCGTCTTTATACACAATCAGCACGTATCCTCAAGGCTGATCATTTCTACATTACTTGCAATGCTTAATGCAACATGCATGATGTGTAGACAGGCCCAGCTGATAGTACTGTTTATTATATACTTCATATGGAGCTGCATAACCTACCTAGTGTCCGGCTCCTGGGTGGGGCAGTTTTGGTGCTCTTGGTAATGATCTTCATGCAGTGTAGTAGTTATTTGTGACTGTCATATAATGTACATAGACTAGATGGCTTAATTAAAAGGAAATTCAATAGCAAGATGTCACAGTCTGCTTCCTCCTTTGGCCTCTCTCCTTGGTTGGCAGAAGGTATCTCCTGCTGTGTCTTCACAGGCTTACTCATCTGTATGTGTATTTTCATCAGCGTTCTATTGCTGTGAAGAGAGACCACAATATGGCAACTCTTATAAAAAGAGAGCATTTTAGTTAGGGCTTGCTTAGAGTTTCAGAGGTTTAGTCCATCATCCTCATGGAGGCGAGCAAGGCAGTACACAGGCAGACACAGTAGCTGAGTTCTACATCTGGATCTGAAGGCAGCAGGAAGAGAGAAAGCCACTGGGCCTGGCTTGGGCTTTTGAAATGCTGAGGCCCACCCTCAGCATCACACTTCCTCCAATAAGGCCACTCCTCCTGATCCTTCTCAAGTAGTGGCACGCCCTGACGACCAAGCATTCAAATATATGAGCCTGTGGGGGCCATTCTTATTCAACTGCCACAATGTGTCTGTTTGCATCTTGACTTCCTTTTCTTATAAGGATCAGGTCCATTCCGATGACCTCATTTACCTCAGGTGCCTCTTTCAAGACTCTGTCTCCAGGTCAGCAAATGACTCAGGATGTAAGGATGCTTGTTGCTAAAGGCTGGCCACCTGACTTCAATCCCCAGAACCTAAGTGGACTGGTTTGAGTGGGAACGGGCCTCATAGGCTCATATGTTTGAATACTTGGCCTGTAGTTGGTGGGAACTATTTGGGAAGGACTAAGAGGTTGGAGGAGGTGTGTCACTGTGGCGGGGGTGGGGGGGCAGGGGTGGCTTTCGAAAGACTCATGCCATTCCCAGGGTGCACACTCTCTGCATCGTGCCTGTGGATCAAGATGTGAGCTCTCTGAAAAGCTCCCTGGTGCTATGCCTTTGCTCTGCCACCTTGGACTCTAACTCCCTGAAACTGTAAGCTCAATTAAATGCTTTCTAAAGTGCCTTGGTCATAGTGTTTTGTCACAGCACTAGAAAGGTATCTAAGACACCACATAAAGTGAGTAAGTAAAAGAGAACCAGTTCCACAAAGTTGTCTCTGACATCTACATATTCCCTGTAGCCTGAGCATACACGAGTGCTTACACATAATTCTCTCTCTCTCTCTCTCTCTCTCTCTCTCTCTCTCTCTCTCTCACACACACACACACACACACACACACACACACACACACACACACACGCACTTTTTCTTTTCTAAAGATCCTATCTCCAAATACAGTCTCACACTGCAGTACTGAAGTACTAGGATCAGGACTTCTGTGTGATTGATGAACTGATTCAGCCTGCAGCAGTGAGGCTCAGCAGCTCTTCGGGTGACCCAGCCCCCAAGTTGCTCCCCAGCCTCTCCCAGGAACTGGGGTGGGGGAGGGGAGTGCCTTGAGCTTTGGAGCTGTCCACTGACAGGGCCATTTTCTTTGTTTGCACCGCTGAACTCTGCAGAACCGTCTACTGGTTGAACTCGGGAGGAAAGAGCACAGCTCTGCCTATGACACGTTGATAGGAATCCTATTTAAAAAACTCAAGTTGGCTCTGAAATGAAAAAGTCAAAGAATGTAAGATTGGAAGGTGGGCCAGGGCAGGGTCTGGGGAAGGTGTCCTTCCCAGATGTTGCCAGCAGGGGTCAGATGAGCTCAGACACATCAACGGCCAGCCCCTGGGGAGGAAGGAAAAGTGTACTCGAAGTCTCCCTCCCTGCCCCCACTTCCAGTTCTTTCCTGCCTTCAGCTGCAACCCAGAGTGCAACACTGAAAAGCAGCGAGTCTTGCAATAGGAGACTGGCGAAGAAGAAAGACCCATTCAAAAGAACCATCATGGTGTGGTGGATGACTGCAGTGTAAGATACTTGTGCATGGGCTTTGGGGTGGCCTCTATAGCTCGAGGTGGAAGGACACTAGACAGAGAATCTCATTTACTGCTAGACCAAGATTTCCCAAGCCAGAGTCACTCTGGAATAGAGTCGTTCCCCCTGCCCTCCCCCGCCCCACAGGTAAAGACAAGGGACTCACTCCTTCCACTCAGAAAGCCCCAGCCCCCCCCCCCCGATTGTTGAGAAGAAAGGAGAAGCCAAAAATGACATGCACAAAGTGTGTGTATAGGGCTCAGATCTTTATGTCTAGACCCTTGTACAATAGCCACGATGTGCTCAGAAGGACAGAGGCTGTGGCAGGCTGGAGAATGGCCTTCAAAGACATCCACATCCTAATTCTGGGACCATGAACATGTGACCTCTGTGGCTAAGGGACATTGCAGGCATGGTTGTCAAGGAAGATTCTAGGTTACTGAGCATAGCTTGCCACAGGGTCTTTCGGGGAAGGGGCTCTGCGACCATGCCTGAGAACTTCCCCAAACTGATTTGCAATAGAACATTATAAATATGACGGCAGGAAGTATAAATGCCTCTAGATTCTGGAAATGGCTGGGGAAGGGCCCTCTAGAATCTGTAGGGGAACGCAACCCACACGGACCTCCAGAACCACACCCTGGTCTATGTGCATTAGGAATTTTACACTGCCTTGATCATTACTGTGTTTCTGGCAAATGTGTTCCAGCAGCAACACAGAACCAATACACAGGTGCTGGTGCCAGCAGCTGCCCTGGTTTTGATCCGGTGGGCCGTTTCTTTGATTGACTGCTGTTCCTCTTTCAGCTGGTGTGGCCCTGGCTAAAGAGCGATTGCTATAGAAGGAAGGAGGGCTCCTAAGAGCATACAAAATAGAAAGGCAGCCTCTCCGGGCGTGGGGGTGGGGAGCCCTTAGTTCCTGGAAGTGAGGCAGTTCCTCTGTTCTCTCCAACCCAGCACACATGTTGCAATGTGGTGTCCTAATCCAGACCTCTGCTGTGGCTTCCACAGTCAGGCTGGCAGGGTAGCAGAGCTACCAGATGACTGTGATGAAGGTATGAGCCATGGCGGTACCCCTGAATATCAAGTGTATTTAGTGCTTCTCCAAGTCGTGGCAGACGAGGGGATAGGATGCCTTTGTAGTCCTAATCACAGCCCCTCATGGCTTGTCGACAAGCTTGGGTTGGCTCAGTTGCTCGAGATCCAGTTCTTCCAGTTAAAAGCCGAGTTGGCACCGTGTGTCAGCGTCTTCACTGGGGGGTTCACCAGCTCCCACTTCCCTTCCTCTTTGTTTTCTTCACAGAAACACATTCCCAGACATGGGATCTGGAAAAGAGTTTAGAATGTTTAGAATGTTCTGTTACATGTCAATCAACACTGGGGTAGTTTTCAAGCCTATTGACTATGCTTCTACATCATGGAAGTGGACCAGATGGTCCCAGGCTGCCAGGACACCAGGGAACCAATGTCAGCCTCCATCATGTTACTTCCACCTGGGGATGATCAGCCCTCCCAATAGTGGGACCTTGGGTGAGATTGGTCATAATCTCATTTGGAGTGGGGCTGCTAAGCATTCTGGGAGCCATGGGTCAGTCCTTCTTGCCCACAGAATTACCAGGTCCACATGCCTATGGGGGCGGGGACCCTGCCAACTAGCTACAAAGTACCTCATTCCTGCTTCAGCTGCAGGCTCAGGATTGAGGTTTTTAGACCACAGAATAAAATGAAAAGTCAACCCTTGGGCTCCCATGCCTTCATCTGTGGATGCCATCATAAGTGGACCTGCCAGGAGGGTCCTTGTGTCGAAGGCTTTTCTGTTTGCACACCTTGCTTACCCTGTCTCACCCTCTTTTTTTTATGTCTATGAATTCTTTGGTCAGACAAGGTCTGCAAAACTCCCAAGCTGCATGGAGGAATTTGAGCAGAGGCTACTGTGGACTCAAGGACCAGTCATTCTAGCTGCAGACAGGGACCATCAGGGTGTAATGGGCTGGACAAGGGAAGGCCTTGGGTGTTCAGGGTCCTGCATGCTGATCCCCATTGGAAGGCTCATCATTCAGCAGAGACCTTGAATAAATTTCTGATCTGCAGGCTGTTGAATTTAGGTGGGGTGGAAGTAGACTCTAAACGGTCAGCATAAGAACGTTCTGGAGTTTAGAAGTTTATAGGTATCGTTTTTGTTTTGTTTTGTTTTCTTGTCCTCATCCTCCTCTTCCCTATGCCTTCTTCCTTCTCTCTTTCCTCCTTTCCTCCTATTGAACTAGGGTTCGGTCCCTGTGTTTCTCAGACGGGGCTCAAACTCATTAGCTCATGTGGTCATCCTGCCTCATCTGTAATTCTATACCAGTCGAGTCAGGGCATGGGATCACTGGTTAGTTAGAGAAAAAGAGAGAAAGAGAGAGAGAATATGAATGTGGGAGGCTAGCCCTGAGCAGGTCACCAGGGGAGCAAGGGCTGGTCTCAGAGGACCAATTCGTCCCCTGGCCACCACCCTCTCTGTTCAATAGGTCACCCAAAGTCCTGCTCCTCTGCGTGCTTGCCACCAGCCTGCCATCAGAGGTTTGCACGGCGCTGGCCCAGCACCTGGTCATGCTGACAGAGAGCTACAGTGAGTTCACATTTGTCCCTTGAGAGGTGACTCAGGAGGTGAGTGGATGGAGGTTCCTTCCATCTGTCAGTGCTCCTCCCAGAGGTACCCTTCTCCCCTTACTCAAACAATGACTTCTGATTCTGTACAGGACCTTAGTTCTGCAATTAGAGCTGCAGGGACATGGACTGTGGGCTGACTGAACAAATCTGGAAACTTCTTGACGTCACTGGCTACAAAGAACTGAGACTGCCATACGGTGATAGAATGGCGGGCCTGTCCCACAGCTCCTGCAGGTATGCCCTCCATAGGAGCAGGTGGGCACACTCTCATGGTCCTGCCAGCTCTGGTTTGGACACTTGTTTTCATTCTACCAAGAGTGCCATGACCCTGTGCCTGCTTTACTTTGAGATAAAAGAGGCATAAGAGGGACACATACCTTTCTTACCAGCTGGGCAAAATCTCCACATTCCCTGGGTGGGAGCCCGAGGAGTGGCCTAGTGCAGGAGTCAAGTGCTGAGCTGTGGCTCACGATGAGGGTGATGCCTACTGTAGACAAAACAGAGGTCAGAGCAGGCACAGGGAGCACTTTGTAAGACAGAGGGCTCCTCCAAGTCTCGCGGGTCCAGCTACCATGCCCCTGTGAGGTGGTGGGGTGGGAAGTAGTGTGGGTGGAAAACTCAGTCGCTCATCCATGATTTGGAATGTACCACCTGGGGAGAGGGTGTAGCATCTGTGTGCCAGCTTCAAGGATGGCATAAGGGTGATCCGAGCCACTATCCTCTTGTGGCTGGCTGCCTAGGTCCTGTCAACCACAGGTGGGGTATGTGATGGCTGCCACCCAGACCCTATCCAATCACTTTAGCTGGCTTATCACCTGCTTTAGATAAGGGTTTGCAGTGTCCATGGGCTCAGGGAGCCTCCTCAGGTTGATGTGATGGGCTCCAGACAGCTAGAGAGTGATGTGGGACCCAGCACCTCTGTGTGAGCTTTGTGTTGGACAAGGTGAGGCTGGGAGAGCTGGGAGTGTGGCTGGTGGTTAGGGCAGGAGGGCTGTGACTCCACCTCACTTTCCCTAGGCATTGGCTGCTCCATCTTTCATTCCTTCTGGGATTCTCTTGTTTCCTTCCAGTTAACACTAGCCTTTTAGACATGGATAAACTGTGAAGACCCTGATGTTCTCAAGGCCCATCAGTGCACAGCACCAGAGCATGCAGACTTGGGCTACATGGGGTATGTGTGTATGCATTCACTCCCTGTCATGGTGGAGATGAGATACTATTGGCCAGAGCATTAGGGTAGGGAGGTGGGGACACTAACAGCTCAGAGTCAGCCAATCCCATCCCAGAGAAGCCTGAGGCTGCTCCTCCTCCAATCTGTGGGACACTCACTGTCCTGTGGGCATGTGTTGATGATCTGCCCCATGCTCACGGCGCACCTTTCCACGTACTGGTCATAGCTCTCAGCTGGCATGAGGGAGCAGCGGGGGAACGCAGGCCTGAAAGGAGGATGGAGAGAGATACGGCTGCTGTCTTAGAGCCTTCTGGGGACCAAGAGGGTGTGTGCTGGAGCAGCTGAGAGGGACCATGATCCTCCAGATGCCTGTCAGACAGGGCTCATGGGTTCATAGCCAGCAGGGGCTTCTGGATGTGTTCCACATCAGCAGAGGGCTGTGGTACCCACCCCCAGCATGGATGCTGACTGAGCAACAGGAATTCTGTACATCCCAGTCAGTCACCCTGGAGAAGGACAAAGACACTCCCCTTCACAAGGACCCTCTTCTGGATGAGGTCCCTCTATGTCCATCCCTGCAGGGCCAGTTTTAGGAGGAGCACCCCACCTCCCCCAGGTGGTCAGGTTCCCCAGCCTCCATGGCCCCAAGATGATGTGTGTTCACTGTAGCTACCTTCACCAGGAGTCTTGCTGGCTTGGCTGAGCAAGACCACAACCCTCATGCCATTTCCCACGGCCTCCCTCCTGCTCATCCTATACCCACAGCTCAATGTACCTCACTCTCCACTGCAGGGCCCCATCTCAGTAGGTATACTTTCTTTAACATGAGCTAGAGAAGCCTCAATAGCAGAGAATTGCAAGGTGCCTACCTGTAATCAGGGTCAACATTGAAGTGTGCCTCTGTCAGCTCCTCCAAGCTCAGGAAGGTCGGGGTGGCCTTGCTGGCTTCCCACTTCATCCATTCGAAGACTCCAGGCTCAACCCTTATCTTCAGCCTCTTCTCCAGTTTGAGTTCTGGGGTCGATGCAAAACAAGCATGCACGTTACCTAAAGACATTTCTTCATAGCTAGGTCTACCATGCTAGTCAGTGGCTTTGTCAACTCGACACAAGGCAGACCTCTGGGAAGAGGAACCTCAGTTGAGAAAATGTCTTCATAAGACTGGTCTGTAGGCTAGTCTCTAGCTGTCCTGCAACTCACTATGTAGAGTCCTTGGACTCCCGGAGATCTGCCTGCCTCTGTATCCCAAGTGCTGAGGTTAAAGGCGTCCACCACTATGCCCGTTTCCTTGATTAATTACTGACACAGGAGGGTCAAAAGCACTGTGGGTGGTGCCATTCTTGGACAGGCGATCCTGGTTGCTCTAAGAAAGCAGGCTGAGCAAGCCATGGGGGCGGGGCAAGCCAGGAGTCAGCAGCGCTCCTCCACAGCTTCAGCTCCTGCCTCCAGGTTCCTGCTCTGAGCTCCTACCACAACCTCTCTGACTGATGGACGCTGACATGGAAGTGTAAGTCAAATATGCCTCTTCCTCCCCCAGTTGGTTTTGGTTAGTGTTTTTTTTTTTTTTTTGGTTTTTCGAGACAGGGTTTCTCTGTGTAGCTTTGCGCCTTTTCCTGGAACTCACTTGGTAGCCCAGGCTGGCCTCGAACTCACAGAGATCCGCCTGGCTCTGCCTCCCGAGTGCTGGGATTAAAGGCGTGCGCCACCACCGCCCGGCTTGGTTAGTGTTTTATCACAGTAATGGAACAGCAAACTAGAACACCGACCTATCCACGAGTCCAAGGAAACCCTTCACAAGTGTGACTCTTTCCTGGCAAAGGTCATCCTGGGCTTTAAGTTCAGTTTTGCCGTCTCTGAGACCTAAACCACCAGGCAGCTGTAGAAGTCCAAGGACTGACACCATGTTGCCCACCAGGATGGATCATGCTGCCTTGTTAGGGGGATACCACAGGCAGCTGTAGAAGTCCAAGGACTGACACTATGCCTACCAGGATGGACCATGCTGCCTTGTTAGGGGGACACCACAGGCAGCAGTTCCACCCTAGGGTGTCACTCTAACTTCAAATACAGCTCACTCAACCCATGCCACAGCCTCACTCTTGATAGAATGATGTGACGACAGTGACAGTGGGGCACGTGACCGATGGGGCAGGAGGTAAGGGGTCAGAGAGAAACGTTTGGAACGTTCTGACTGCTCACAGCTTACCCTCCCCTAAGCATCTTACATCCTGCCCCAAAGGCCTGTCAAGCAAGGCTGTGAATGGGATGAAAGTGTAATCGAGAGGGGTTCAGATGGGGGGCAGGGCCCCTGCCTCCTGACTGCTGACCTTGGACAAAGAGGGCTTCCATCCCCTGCAGCAAACACTTCCATGACCCCCTAAGTGTGGGTAGATCTCATGTGACCACCAGCTGCCCAGGTGGCTACACCATCTTGCATGGCTGAGAGGACTGTCATGGTGCCCTGACAGTCAGGTGATGCTGGACAGCTCCCTCCGAGCATCGACCCTACTCTGGGATGTCATGCATGTTGGATCTAGAAGGGTCCACAGCAGCCCCAGCTTTCTAGGCTTGTGAATGTTCCTTTCTAAGTACTGAGACACTTTGCAGAAAGGAACCACGGGGCAAAGTATGATGACAGACGTTGATCCTGTGACACCAGTGGTCCTACCATGGGTCCTAAAACCTTAGCATTCTAGGATGTTAGTGGCTCATTTCTCCCAGCAGCTCCTAGAAGGCAGTTTCTAACCGCCTCTTGGCTTAGATGTGGTCATTCCCTGTCCATCATCTCATTCACCTCCAACCCCTCTTTGCTTCCCACGGAGAGTGACCTCAAGATCAAGTTAAAAGGAGGGTCTGCTGAACTTCTCACCCACCTTCCAGGATGTGCTTGGCTGTCTGCACACAGCGCAGGGCTGGAGACACAAAGACCGCTGTGACTCGGATGCCGCTGTCCAGCAGAGCCTCTCCTGGAAAACAAGGTAGGAAACACACTTCACGCATCATCAGCCTTGGCTGTGTTGAAAGATGGAGGGGCCCATGTTACAAGGCATGGGTGTGACCTCAGAATCAGAGAGTGGCCAATAGCAGCCAGGGAAGACCCCAGTCCTGCACCCCTGAGGACATGAGTTCTAATCATAGCCTGGGTGAGTCTGGAAGGAGCCACGGGCTCCAGATAGAAGTGACTCCATGGACTGAGAGCCCACCATGCCCTGCTCAAGTCAGATCTGCACTGTAGGCTTAACATGGACATTGCTTTACACCTTCATGGTCATCTAGTTGGTCATTTCAAAGCCATCCATGGCTTGTGGAATGATAGGCTGTAATCCAACCATGTTTTTTTTGTGACACTGGAAGTGACTTGTCACCCACACAAGGTACACACACATCGAGAGCTGCTCAAACATCTCCATAAGTGTTTAGGCCTAAAGACAGGACTTCTGGGACACACATACATGTCACATGCAGACACATGTGTGCATTGCCCTGAGGGAGAAGGGACCCTGTTGGGCTGTGTGTGGCTGGTGTATCCCAACTTCAGAGCCAACCATTGTCTCACTGGGAGCCTGAAACAGCCACAGTATGAACGCGGCATCCCCATCCAGAGAGCTGGCAGGCAAGCATTGTGTGTGTTCACGCAGGGAGAGGAGCAAGAGAGCTGGTTCTACTGGGTTCCTTTAACTAACCAGCCAGAGACTGGGGTGCCTGTTCGTCCCCTTAGGCTCAGCTTCCTAAATTTATAAAATACAAAGCAGACAAACTCAAATCTCATCAGCTCCCCAAATTAGATCTCGTGGAAGGAGAATACCCAGTCATTAACTCAAAGCTCTGAGGGACAGTGCAATACAACCCGTGAGGAGGTGTGCCGTGTGTGTGTGTGTGTGTGTGTGTGTGTGTGTGTGTGTGTGTTTGTGTGTGTGTATGTATATGGAGGTCAGAGGTCAACCTCAAAAGTCATCCTCAGGAATGGTGTCCACCCTGTAAGATAGCATTTCTCACTGGCCTGGAAACTCACCGTGTAGGCTAGGCTAGGCTGGCTGGCCCCGGAGCTGGCTTGCTAGGGAGCAGCAGCCTGTCTCCATGTCCTTAGCACAGGGAATACAAGTACACGCCACCACACCCAGCTTTTTTCATGTAGGTTCTGAGTATCAGATCCAGGTGCTTCTGCTTGCACAGCAAACACTTGGCCGACTGAGCCGACTCCCCAGCTCGGTGTTAATTTTACCAGTGATGCTCTTGGTGCATCTGGTGTTTACTGATCCCTCCTCTCCCTACGGTGTCCCTCTCCCTGTATTTCATTGCTCACATCACCAACCATCCATTACTGGATCAGACTGCTCCACTTTTGGCCACTAGCTGTGTGACCCTGGCTAAATCATCTAACACCTCTGTGGTGGTTTAAATGAGAATGCCCCACCCCAGCTCATGTATTTGAATATTTGGTCCCCAGTTGGTGGAACTGTTTGGGAAGGATTAGGAGGTGTGGCCTTGTTGGAGGAGGTGTGTCATGGGGGTTGGGCTTTGAGGTTTTAAAAGCTCATATCAGGCCCAGGCTCCCTCTGCATCCTGCCTGTGGATCAGGAGATAAGCTTTCAGTTACTGCTATAGCTCCATGCCTGCCTGCCATGATGGTCATGGCCTAACCCTCTGAAACTGTAAGCAAGCCCTCAATTACATGCTTCCTTTTATAAGTTGCCTTGATCACATCTCTTCACAGCAATAAAACAGTCACTAAGACAATCTCTGTGTCCCTGTATGGGCAGAGTATGGAAGGCATCAGTACTACTGTCAAAGGATGCTTGGCAGGGGCTCAGTGTACACAGCTAAGATCCTTATTATCACTTTCTCTCTGGTGGGAGCACTCTTAAACATACCTGTGATGATATATTGTGTACCCTAATAAAACTTGCCTGAAGATCAGAGGACAGAACAAGCCACTAGATTAAACATAGAGGCCAGGCAGTTGTGGCACACACCTTTAATCCTAGCACGTGGGAGGCAGAGATCAGTTTGGATCTCTGTGAGTTCAAAGCCACCATGGACTACATGAGATTGACTCAGTCTAGGAGAGAAACAGAGCAGGCAGTGGTGACACACCTTTAATCCCAGCACTTGAGATCTCATGCCTTTAATCTCAGTATGTGGGAAGTCACATGCCTTCAAGCCCAGCAATAGGAAGTAAGTAATATGGTGGGCAGAGAAAGGTATATAAGGTGTGAGGAGACAGGAACTAGAGGTTTTTTTCAGGCTGAGAAGTCCTAGAGGTAAGAGGTGTCTGTGGCTTGTTCCTTTATCTCTCTGATCTTTCAGCAATTACCCCAATATAAGGCACTGGGTTTTTAGTATAAGACCTATTAGAATTCAAGCTACACATACCAGCAAGTCTGGCCTGGAAAATTCCACAGGATGATAAGGGCGGATCATTTTCAAAGTCTTTGATACCGTTGCTCCTCCTGGGCAGGCTGCGGGGGAAGTTCAGGTCTGGCCTGTAGTATTTTCCTAAAGTAGAAACAAGTGGCAGACATCTGGGACCACTGAATCAGATCCATTTGTCCCTCAAGATTCCAAAACCGAGATCCACATGGGAAGGGTATTGCCTAAGTCCTTGCCAATGCTGTCGTTTCTAGAATGTTCTGTGATGTGGATTCAATGGAGCAAATATTGCTCTGCAGGCCTGTAACATATTCTCAAATGCAGAGCACATAGGTTTGAGCCCCAGGGACTAGGAGCCTACTTCATCTTCTCAGCCCTCATCACTCACACAAGGGAGAGGAAGCGTGTGTCTCCAAGATAGGCTTCTGAGTGGGTATCAGTTGACTGGGGGCAGTATGAAGCCTCCTAGGTGTATTGCTGATGTTGGGACAGTACACACTTGGCTGGAGGTCCCCCACCTTGGGAACTCTTCAGTCAGGTGCTTAAATGTAGGACCAGAAAACAGGGGCTGCATGACACTGTGGTCCCCTTGAATTTGACACTGACCTCTCAGATCTGTCAATCTGGTAGGAATTCTGACCCTTAGCTATGAGCTGTGGGACCAGAAACAAGTGGCTGAATCTCTCTCATCATAGAAAAGGGGAAACCAGAATTGTCACAAGTCACTGGACTGGTGCCAAGGGCCTGGCTCAGACATGTGACCAATGTGTATGTGGGTGGGTTTCCATACCCACCCAAGTGACCCCAAAGCCATTTCCTAGCAGCAGCTGTGCCTTGGCTGCTCTAGAGGACAGTACTGCTGGGATCTAGGATCCCTCAAGGACACAGAGACAGTCTGTCTAGAGTCACCCAGACTCAACCTACCATCGGTGGTAGTGCACTGCTGTAGCCAAGACTTCCCAAAGACCTGGTCCACTCTCTCCCCATGGCGTACTACCAGCACACCTCTCCTCGCGATGGTAGCCTGGAGTGGGAGCAATGGGACACAGAGTTATTGATCAGACTCTCTCTATAGTATCCACCAGCCATTGCCTAGAGACAGAGCCTCTCCCAAGATGCTCAGCCACTGGGGTCAGGCTGCCAGCCTTCACAGTGATGAGGGTGGGTCACCCCATCATAGACGACATGTACTTTTCAACCTTTTTGTCTCTTCCAAGTATGTATGTATGTATGCATGCATCTATCTGTCTATCTATCTATCTATCTATCTATCTATCTATCTATCTATCTATCTATCTATCATCTTTCTTCCTTCCTACCTCCCTCCTTCCCTCCCTTCTTTTCTCCTCTTTCTTTCTTGCCATTTCCTCTCCTTTCTCTATCAAATGTCAAGCTATTTATAGTTTCCTCATTTACTGCTGCTCCTCCTTTCCTGAGAAGCCCTCCAGGACTGCCCATGTTTGAACCCACCCCAAGGTAGCTTTCTCGCTGCACCCAGGTATGTGTTTTTCCTCTGAGCACCCAGGTAAGAAGTCTTGCTCCTCTTCTTCATTGTCTTCCTCTAGCTGGACAACCTCTGCTTGCCCAAGCGCTCTTAGTGAGCAGGACAGCATCCCTCAGTGCACCTGAGGTGGGCCGAGGACCCCTGCAGGTACCAAAATTCACAGATGCTCAAGTCCCTTGTATACAATGACATGATATTTGCATTGATCATAGACACATCCCCTGTGTATTCTAACTCATCTCAGGCAACTTAAACACCTAATGCCGTTTAATGCCATGTGACCAACAGCTGTGCCGTATTGTTTAGATAACACTGGCAGGGAAAGTCTGTATGTGTTCAGTACTGGTGAAACTATATTGTCTTCCTTCCTTCCTTCCTTCCTTCCTCCCTTCCTTCCTTCCTTCCTTCCTTCCTTCCTTCCTTCCTTCCTTCCCTCCCTCCCTCCCTCCCTCTCTTCTTTCCTTCCTTTCTTTTGAGACATGGTCTGACACTGTAGCCCAGGCTGCCTGGAACTTTCTATGTACCCCAGGTTGGTCTCAGACTCACAGCAATCCTCCTGCCTCTACCTCCCAAGTGCTGGGATTACAGACATGTGTCACCACAGCCAGTTTGGATCTTGAATGTCAATCAAAGACTTGCACGTGGAAAGCTTGGTTGCCAGCCTATGGTACTGCTGAGACAGGGACTTTTAGGAGGCAGGGCCTGGTGGGAAGGAGTTAGGTCACTGGATTGCGACTTTGAAGAGTTATTGGGACCCAGCCCCTTCCTGCCTTTGCTTTCTGGCTTCTGTCAGGTAACCAAGTCTCCTCTGCCATCTGCCTCCATCATGGTAAGTTGTACCACCAGAGGCCCAAAGCAACAGAGCCCAATGATGATGGACTGAAGACGCTAAGACCATAACAAACCAAAACAAATATTTGTTTTTTTTTGAAGCTGGTCATTTTAGGTATTTTGATGCACTACTGGGGAGCTGATTAAGATAAGATGTAGTCTTCTATAATGTTTTCCATCCCCAGTTGGTTGAGTCGGTGGATGAAAGAAACCTGTGATGTAGGGATCCAGAGGCCATATTTTATTTTGTTTTAATTGTTCGCCTGACAGTGTCCAGCAGCCTCAGGTCACAGGAGGCAGCAGCTCTCTGGAACATTCCTTCCTTTTCAGGCTGTCCTTTGTACTTCCCAGTCACAAGGTACCTGTCCATTGTGCTCTTGGGAAGGCCTTGCTGAGGGTACTTAGCAGTGATGCATCATTCCTCAGGAGGGGCTCCTATGTGTGTGGGGGTCCATTCTCACTTGGGAGAAAGGCCAGACTCTAGCAGCTAATGTCTACCAGGGTGTTAAACCAGCAAGCACGGCTTACTAACAAACACAAAACAAAACAAAAAACAAACCAAAATAAGAAAACCAACCAACCAACCAACCAACCAACCAACCAACCAACCAGGGTCCTGTTACCTGCAAAGCCTGTATGCTACTAACGCTCCTTGACATTGACGGGGTGTGGAATTCTCCATTTCTCCTGCTGCTGGCTTCGCCATCCTTCCTAGAGTTCAGGTCCATGGCTAGACTAAATGTATATGTCCTGTGGGGGAAGAGGAGAGGCAGTGAATAGAGACAGAAGATGTTGTTACCATGGTATCTAATTATGGATGTTCCTGGGAAATCTGTCTCAACCTCTACAGTAAGAATCAAGACCACAAAAATAAGATGAATGTGCAGAGTGCTTTGGACAGGACTCGTGAAGCCTGTGGTTGGCTCATCACCCTAGCACCACCATGATGCCAGACCTGCCTCAACACCGTGCCCAGGTGTTGTTCAAATGCTATGTTATTTTAGAGATGGCAGCTTCTCCATGTTCCCCAGGCTGGCCATGAACTCCTGGCTCAAGACAGCCTCCCACCTCAACCTTCCAAGTAGCTGGGACTGCAGATGTGCATCACTGTGCCAAGCTCTGTTTTCAATGTCACTAAGAAGGTACCTTTTAGATGATTCTAGTGGTGAGGCCAACAGACCTGGAATAAAATAGACCCCATGTGTGTAGGGTAGGGTGAGATGTCTTAGGACAGGATAGAGGGAGGTCTCCGCAGAAGGGTAGATTCTGTCTCCAGGCCACCTTCAGACACAAGCTATAGCTTCAGATCTTTCCTAGGCCCGGCCTACCAGGCCACCGTGCAGATTTCAGATCTGCCAATCAAAACTTTAGCAGATCCCTCCCTTCTGTGTCTCACCCCCATCTCTACATCCTACTGGTTCTGTGCCTTTGGTGAACATCAAATCTGTTTTTCTCACACACCATCCTCTGATTTACCATCTGTTCAGGTGGAAGTAGGTGGGATACTGGAATAGTGGCCAGACACCCTAAAGAGCTGTGGGAACATGGGGGTGTGCTCTGTGGGAGCATGGGGATGTGCTCTGTGGGAGCGTGGGGATGTGCTCTGTGGGAGCATGGGGATGTGTTCTGTGGGAGCATGGGGATGTGCTCTGTGGGAGCATGGGGATGTGCTCTGTGGGAGCATGGGGGTGTGCTCTGTGGGAGTATGGGGATGTGCTCTGTGGGAGCACGGGGATGTGCTCTGTGGGTGCTGGGTACTGAGGCACCTGAGGACTTGCCAGGTAACCAGGAAACTGTGAATTACTTAAAGTGCCGTGAGGTGGACAGGTGTTCGGGAACTCAGGTAGGGGAGAGTCAAAGCAAATTGGAGTGAGAACCCCAAGATATGAAACAGCAAGGGGCGTTATACTCACAGGGTTCCTTCCTGTCTGGAAGGAACAAGTAGGTGGCCCGAGAGAGGGGGAATGAGCAACACAGAGCAATGGTCATGTGACTCCTCCCTGGAGCAGTAAAGGAGTGATTTCCCCAGGGTAGAAGCCATACAAGGAAAAGTTTCTATAAGCGATTTAAAAATAATTCCCAGCCCCAGTGACAGCTAATTGCTTATGTGATTCTTGGACAGCCATTCTGGGCTCTTCTGGGTTGCATCTGTGAGACGTCCTGCCTACCACCCTTTGTGTCTGAGAACCTTTGCTCTCATTTCCTGTTGACCCAGCAGGGTTACTCTCCAATTCTTTTAGGTACAAGGAACATCTTGATTCTAGTCATTATTGGAAACATGGGAAACGGTTGCAACACACTGAAAAAGAAAAGGTCCCCATGATTCCGTCAGCCACCGAATTCAACCACTTAATCTTCTCCGCATCCACCCATATTTAGACTCTGACCCAGTTTTTCGGGAAAAGCAGATTGCAAAGTAGAGTTTCAGAAGGTGGAGTATTATGGGCTGCAATAAGGCAGGAGTGGCCTGGCTGAGTAGGCTCCTGGTTATCTGGGGGGTGGGAACAACTCCCCTAAGCCCCTCAGGGTTGTGGGTGACGTACCAGGTGGGTGGATGGGGATGGAGGGGCAGGCTGAGGAGGTAGTCGTGAGGGGACTCGACTCTGTTGAGGGTTTGAGGGGCAGCAGAGGTCAGTGTGTCTGGAACAGAAGGAGCCAAGGGAGGAGAGGCATGCAACAGAGGAGCTTTTGTGGGTGCAGAACCCAGATGCTACAGGTTCACCTGAGGTTTGTGCCTGGAGTGGAAGGAACAGTTAGATTTGCTGACTATGTGAAGAGCCGCTCTTGATAGACTAGATCCAGAGCCTGGGCAATGGGTGATGGGAAGGATTCCACACCAGGCTTCTCTCCCTTCCCCCTCCCCCATCCTCCTCTCCCTCACATCCTTGCTCTGCAGTGTTAGGGATCATACCTGGGCCTCCCACATTAGACAAGTGCTTTACCACTGACACGTATCCAAGCTCGACTCCGGGCTTTCTGGCTGAGTGATAGGAAAGACTGAATCGCTCTCAAACGAGATGAGGAGTTTGGGAAGGGCTGACGTGGCCTGCTTTAAGTCTGGATCTCCTCTAGTGAGATGCAGCTGCACGTGGCACCACTGAGCTGGCTTTGGGTGAGAGAATATGGCTCAGGACCAGCTGGGGCCAGAGTCAAAGGAGAGGTTCAGGCAGGAACCTGCTCAGACGGACGCCTCTCGCAGGAGTATGGAGTCCATAGCGTCTTGTTCTGTCCTGTGGTGCCCCTTGTCATTCTGAACGTACAGAGGTCATGAATGTCAGGCAGTGACTGGTCACCATCAAAGACAGGCCTACTAAGCGTTCTGAGATACCCGGCTGCTTCTGCACCATCCAAGTTCTCGCAGCCCAGAAGCCAGAGACACGCTTTCTATTTATTTCTTATCTCTGCCAGGCTTTGACTTGGGTGAACTATGTGGATGGGGTATAAATGCCATTGATGTCTTTCACTCTTCCCCACCAGCTTCTGTGGGGATCCCAGACATGGATTCCAGGATGCCAAGAAAGCCTCTCTGTCACCCAAGACCTGGTTTGCCCCACTCAGCTGTCACCTTTCCTTTTGATCTTTTAATGTATTATACCATGAATGTCTTCTTTAAAATAATATATTTTTTGAGACAGGGTCTCACAACATATGCCAGGTTGGCCTTAGACTAACTATGAGCCAAGGATAACTTTGAACTCCTGATCCTCCAGCCAAGTGCTGGGACTACAGGTGTGCACCGCCACATCTAGGTTTAGGGGTTGCTGCGGATCAAACCCAGGCTGGGCAAGGACTTGACGAGCTGAGCCGCAGACTGATCCCCCTCATCACTTTGCTCCCAGAATCTTCTCAGCTCTTCTCTCCTACAGTTTCTTCTAGATAAAAATGCTTCATTCTTTCTGTGACATTCAAACAAACGATCGCTCCAGGACTTTGTCCTAAGTGTCATCAAACCCGGAAGTGACTCTGAAGTTGACAGGTCCTTGTGGTTCACTCTCCTTAACCACCCATGAGGTAGGTTTTTATTTACTCAGCCCTTTTCTTATAACAGATTATCATGTGGCAGCCAACAGCTCCCCGTGATTCTAGCCTGAGACCTGTCTAGAGCAACATGGCATCATTCACGCTGCATCTTGGCTATAGCTGTCTGCTTGACCCCTGTGACCTTTGTGGCATTTTTGTAGGTTGGAACCTCCAGCTTGTCCTTCCATGACCAGGAAAGTCCCAATCCTGTCTCTCTCTCTCTCCAAACCCCACCATCTCAGAGAATCTCCAACAAAGAAAAGGCGCCAAAAAGCCCAGTTCCGCATTCCTGGTGACGAGATTGTAACTTCCTCCCCTGCTGCTGCCAGCAGCCCGAGTCCCTGCCTAAGCATTCCAGCTTTTGACCTTACTTGGGCACAAATCCAGCTTGTGGCGGATGCGTCATCACCCCTCGCCTACAGGCTATATAATCTCCTCGCTTTAGTTCAGGCGTGTGGCTTCTCTGGCCTCCATTCCTGGGACTGGAGAACCCACCTGGGAATTGCTTTGCTCAAATAAACCTGTTATTATAATTTTTCAATTCGGCTTAATCTGGTTTGCTGCGTTGGCAGAGAAACCTGTTATCCAGGTATAGAAAAATCTATTGATTTTGACATAGTTCATGCATTTAAATGTTTTATTTTATTTTATGTATACCAAAGTTTTGCCTGTATGTATGTCTGTCCATCATGCATATGCCTGATATCCATGGAGGCTGGAGGAGGGCATCAGATCCCCTGGGACTGGAGTTACAGATAGTTGTGAGCCATGAAGTTGGTGCTGGGAATTGAACCTGGGTCGTCTGAGAGGACTCAGCTCTTAACTGCTGAGCTATTTATCTAGTCTTGCCATGTATTTTTTGGTTACCCATAAGTTATGGACCTCTGTCCCTGTCATTGCGTCCTGTCCTGTCTTGATTTGTAATCTTTTATGGGCTCTTCCAGATGGACTTGGGCTGGAGCCATGGCTCAGCCGTTAGAGGCTAGGCATACAACCAAAGGGGCATGGACTTTCCTCACGCATTCTCACACTGCAGACGCTAGTGGGTTGAAATGCCGGCGTCAGTGGATCCCGTAGCTGAAGAGTGACATACACTGGAGCCGCTTACAGCCCCTCTTCAATAAGCATGTCACACAGGGCAGGCACAGCTGAAACATCCTGACTCAGGAAGTACTGGTTGCTTTCTTCTTCCCGAGGGCAAGGCGAGGACACCTGTGTAACCCGGGGCTCGTGATCAGACAGTAAAACCATTGTTATCTCTGAGTGACATCTGTGAACTTTACAGTCAGAGAGGAAGTCGAGTTTGTCCACTAGTCTTTCAATTAAAAATGCAAGCAAGAGGGTGGTGGGCGTGTTGGTGGTGAAGGGAGAGAAGGGAGCGTGTGACATTTTTGTTTTTCTCTTGGACTTAAGGGAGTCAGTTAGCGGTTTAACTTGTGCCGTAGAAATAGATGTTTCCATTTTCCTTTGTTCTTAGAAGGGGGTCACCCCAGTGTGTGGCATTTCAAAGACAAAGTCACCACGTTAGTATCCTCGGGTTACTGTCACACAGACTGGGGCTTCTGTGACAGAACAGGTTTCATTTTCTCACTGCCCTGGAGAGTGGGAGGTCCAAGATCAAGGGGCTTGTGATTCATCTTGAGGATTCTGTCCTGGGCTTGAAGATAAGATGGCATCTTCCCCCTGGGTCCTCAATGATCCTCCCTCTGAACAAAGTAAGACTGGAAAAGGGATCATAGTAAGATCTTGTTTCACCTTAATTTAAAGGTCCTTTTCTTAAAAACAAAAAAAACAAAACACCCACCCGGGCTTCAATATAGGAGAGGAGTTTTGGGAGGGAGACATCTCATCCCACAACAGTACCCTCGCTATGTGGGCGTCTCCTGCCACCAGCTTTGTGGGATTCGATGTCGTCTTCTGTGATGGAATCATCCTCGCGTGGTTGGAAGACGGCTTCAGCTTCTCCTGGGCTCTAACTTCCAGCTGTTGCCTCTCTGAGCTACAGCCAGGCTGTACACATGCACCCTGTGAAGAAGCCTGAAACAGGGAGCTCAGGCGTGTGCCCTCCCCCGCAGCAGCCACCTTCCGGTAACAGGCGTGTTACCGGATCAGGCCTCCTGGTCCTCAGAATCCTGGAGCCACCAGCTTAAAGGCACACTGGTGCTAGTGGGCTGTAGGTAAATCACAATGTGTTCACACGGCAGCCACCTCCAGGGCTGGGGAGGTGTTCTCTGAGCAGGAAGGGGCCTCTTCCCACGTGGCTTGCACATCTTCCCCTGAGCGGTGGCATACCAGCGATTCTTCCCTGTGTGAGTCCTGTGGCCTTGGGGGATAGATATCAAATGTCTAGACAGCAAGCTGTCTGCCCACTGGCCAACTATCTGTGCACACAGCTGTCCGACTACACACCCCCCTGCTTAACTCTTTCATGACACATTCAGATGTGCTGGGGCCTCTCTTGAGACAGGATCTCACTGTGTAGCCCTGGCTGCCTTGGAACTCACAGAGGTCTGCCTGCCTCTGCTTCCTAAGTCCAGGGATTAAAGCTGAGCATCACCATGCCCCGATTTTAAACCTCTTTAAACATTTAAAAGGATGTTTAGCACCGTGAGAAGCCATAGCCAACTTACTGCCACCTCCCAGCCTACAGTCACCCCTCAGTCAGCCAGGGAGGGAGGGGGCTTGCTGCTATCCTGTGAGGAAGGGGTGATTCTGATATGGGGGGGGGTGTCCCCATCAGGTACGCCACAGCATTCAGCCAGAACTTGCTTTTTCTTGCAATTTTTGTGGCTATACACTGGCTCCTATCCGAAAGCAGTCTCTCAGGAAGGTCAGGTCACAAGGTGGGACACTTAGGCAGGTGACACACTGACAGGGAAGTGGAATGTTGCTAGCCACAGCTCGCTGCAGAGGCTCTGCTGTAGCTGCAGAATCCAGGCTTGTTCTTTGCCTGGTGGCTCCTCTGCCAGAGTGAAGTTTTCTGCCCCGGCTGTGGAGAGTAGGACAGGGGGCTGCAGGCCACCCAAGCCCCAGCCTCCTGGACTCTGACGCCATCATCTCCTGTCTTAAGTTCTGCCAGCTGTTTCTGAAGCCGCTGACTGATCACGTGGGGTCTGCAGGCAACCAAAGTCTCCTTGATTTTTGTGACATTGTTCATCCTGTCACCACCCAAGCTGGGAACTCAGCGTTCACAGGAGGGGGTCTTCAGCTCTCTCCACAGGCCCTTGTGACTCAGTGGATCATGAGCCGACAGTTGATATAAAGACCTTGGAATCGTGGCTGAATTTGCCTTTCTGAGTTTGTAGGTATGCTCCTCAGCTCTAATGAATTAGCATATGAGGCTAAGATGACATGGAATGACCCACTGCAGAACTGGCTGAATCGGTGCATTTTAAAAGCTATTTTATATCAGTGTATATAACAGATTCCTAACTGCATGTAAGAATCCATGGTTGGCTAAGTTGCCTAGCATACATGAAACTCATGTGATTGCTCATGCCTGTAATACCAGTACTCTGGAGCTGGAGGCAGGAGGATCAGAAGTTCAAGGTAATCCTTGGCTATATAGTGAGCAACATAGTGAGTCCCCAGCAGCCTGGGTTACATGAGATCCTGCCTGGGTAGGGGTGGCGGGGGACCTACTCTGGTAACTGCATTTGGTGGTGAGGGGGCGCCAAGGGCACAAATGCTGTCCCCGGCCTGTCATGCAAACTCAAATGTAAGTTTAAATAACGGGCAGAAACAGTAGCATAGGGCTCTTCTGATCTCAATATTTTCCAGAAAAAAATCTCCATTTAAAAAAAAAATAATAGTTTCTTGCTAAGTCTAGTTATTTTTTCCATGAGCTTCCACCAGCCACAGCTACACTTTTAAAAAAAAGGTTTTGTAAAAATGACCAAAATCAATCATTTGCTTCAAATATTCAAAATACGTTGCTTCTTAGTTTACTCTAAACAGAAGTTTTAGCTACCAGAACTTTTACTGTACGCTTTAGCTTCCAATAGGCACATAAATAAAACAGTACAGTTTCCACAGCTTTGTGAGCTGCGGGCCAGCTTTGATAAGAAGAGATACAGGAAAAAGCTTCCTGGATATAGAGAGGCTAGAAAATCTGTCCACAGATAATGTCCAGCAAGCATGCATAACACACATGCACAACATGCTTGTGCGCATATAAACACACACACACACACACACGCACGCACGCACGCACGCACACACACACACACACACGGTGAAAAAGCAAATAAGAAGTCATGGTTATTACTGGCAGAATGCATATGGAGTGTGAGGTGACAGCCAAGGTTTGAGACACAGACATAGGAAGCTGGGGCAAGGTCCCTGTGTTGCAGCCAAACACTTAGCAACATTGTTCATGGGGAACAGACCTGGTAAAGAATGAAATTGGCTAAGTAGCTCAGGCTATCTCTAAGCCCAGTGTCAAAGCTGTCACCAAATTTCTCCTTTTTGCTCATAGTAAAACGGGAGAGGAGACAGATATGTTGAGGGAGGAACTAATAAATTCAAAAAGCAACACCACCCTAGTTCTGATCATTCTGAAAATCCTTAGCCTTGACAGATGGTGCTAAATGCTAAAATAAAGAAATCGGCCAACTGTGCCGGAAGAAACGAACCATCAGGACAATGCCAGCTTCCAGGAACTACATTTCACCCACAACCACATGAGCTTAGGGAAGGATCACAGCCTTGTAGGACCCCAAGCAGAGGACCCACTTAAATTTGTGTCATTTGGTTCTAGAACACTAGAAAATTCCTAACCCTCCTTAGAACGCTACGAGGCCCAGCTCTGACCTCTGTGTGCACTGTGTGATGTTCATAAAAAGGAAGTAATTCACAGTACTATCTCAGAAGAGCAATTGAAGCCATCTGATTTCCAGAGGGTTATCAGCAGAACCATAAATAGATCACACGTCTACTGTGTGCGCAGAGGGATAATGTGGCCAGTATGGGGACTGTTTTTCTAAGGACAGAACCATCTAGAAGCCCATCACCACTGTGCCCACTGTTTCAGGTGGCAACTGGCACAGAGAGGGCAGTTCTCACCTGTGCTTAACCCAGGTGTCAGCCTCATTGGCTCGCTCTGTGTAGTTCTCTGGCAAGAAGCCTCGGCAGCCAGTCCGATGTGAGATCCCGAGGGCCCAGCCCTCACTGGCTTCCTCCTGCTGAGTGGGGTCCACGAAGATGTAGTCACCAGGCCTGAGCATCAGCTCGTCTTCATTCTGGGGTTTGTACTGGAACAGCGCCTTCAGGGTCTAGAAAGGAGGTGGTAGACCCATGTCTTAGTGAGAGTTTGGCTAGGAAACAATTTCAGCAGGAAGTCAGATATCTTCTGTCTAGCCTTCTGGCTCCTCTGAGGTGTCTTATGCCTACAAGCCCCCATCATGCCTTTGCCTAATGATGCACAGTGTGGAGCCAGTGTGGAACAGTGTGAAACAGTACCAAATACCAATAAGTTTAATGTCTGTCTCCCTTTCTTCTACCCATCCTTTTGAGTACCCATCCACCAACCCACTTGTCCATTCATTTATCTGCCCACCAACATGTTTGTTCACCTGCCATCCATCCACCCATCCATTCATCTGTCCATTCACTCACACACCCATTTTCCCACCCACTCACCCATCATCTATCCCTCCATCTACTTTTTCATTCATCTGTCTGTCCATTCATCTACCCACTCATTTTCCCATTCATCCATTTGTCTAGTCAGCCATCTGTCCATTTATCTACTCATCCATCCACATGCCTACCCACCTCTCAACCCACCTATTCATTCATTCATTCATTCATTCATTCATTCATTCATTCATCTGTCCATCCACTCATCTACCCATTCCTCCCCTCATCCATCCATCTACCCATCCATTCAGACATCTGTCTATCCACCCGTGCATTATTCCACCCATTTATCCATCTATCCACTTATGCATCCATCCACCCACCCATCCATTCATCTGTCATCCACTCACCTACTCATTTTTATTATCCATCCATCCATCTATCCATCCATCCATCTATCCATCCACTTATTCAACTACCTACCCCCCACCTTCCCATTTATCCATTCATCCATCATTTATCCATGTATCTGTTTCTCTTATAGGAAAGACCTTACAGTGTGACCAAATGTGTATATCCATCTTCCTTGGTATGAAGCTATTCATAACTTCTCTTATGACAGAGAATTTGGTGACTCCTTCATACTTATTCCCTGTGTAACATACTTTCTTCCTCAACTAATCAGCTCTTAGGAAAGAAACCTTGGAATGAAGCCCACCAAAATCATTACACAGGGTGAATTAATAAGCAAACCACATATTAACACATCTTGACAATGGGCTTTTCTAATACCACGGGAGAGCTTTCATTGTCTTTTGAAATGATTGTGCATGGCCAACTCAGCTATAAAGGAATGCTACGTCTAAACTGCACATGAAGAGAGGGATCTAGCAGAGGGGAGGCCAGTCTTCTCTTCAGGGAGGGTTGTAGAAGTGAGTGCTGACAGAGGAGCATTTATTTATTCACCTCCTACCAGCAACGAAGGCTGGGCTAGCCCACCAGGCGGTCCAGGTCCTCTCACCTGGTAATGCACAAAACGCATGTCTCGGGAGTATAGGGCAGCTGTCCACTGGCAGGTGTGGCTGGGCTGGATGGCTCTGGCCAGCTGCTCCAGGGTCCTTTGGTGGTGAGGGTAGAACTTATGGGCCAAGGTCAGGTGCAGCTGCTTGGTGCAGGGCTTGACGGTGCAGTCTGTGGAGTCAAGGAAACGCAGGATGTTGAGTATCTCACCCTGAATGTCGAGGGGACATAGGCTGCTAGGTACCCATTCTGAATGTCAGGTGAGAAGAGGCGTGCTGAAAGGTGTCCCTGAATGTCAGTCCTGCCTGCCTGGCACAGACAGAAACCCTATCTGGTCATGCCTGGGTTCTACCACGCTTGCTCCTCAGTGTTGGCGTTTTCTCGACAAGGCAAGGACTGGGCTCTCCCTGTTAGGAAGGATGTGGTTGGATGCTTGCAGAGTTTTTGAAGAAAAACAAAAGACAGGCACAGGGATGTGGCTCAGGTCTTCAGAGCTCTTAGTCTGCAAGCTAGCTTCAAGGACAGAAATGTAGTGAACGGCTCCTTCATCCTCTGGTGCACACACAACAGGGCCTAGACTCCAGGACTAGGTTTTTGTTTCGGTTTTAGTTAGAGACAGCATCTCGTGTGTCCTAGACTGCATTGAACTTGTTATGTAGCTGAGGATGACCTTGAACTTCTGATCTCCCGCTTCTACCTCCTGAGTGCCAGGATCATAAGTGTACACTCCCGTACATGGTTTGTGTGTTGCCGGGGATTGAACCTAGGGCCTCACTGTGGCTAGGCAAACACTCTACCCTCTGAGCTACATCCTCACTCCAGACCAATGCCTTTTGCTTGAAGCAGAGTCTCAGGAAGACAATTCCTTGAGCACTGGCCTGTAAAACCCGCAGCATGTCTAACGTTCATTTGCCTTTCCTCACTGGCCGCCCTGGGCGTGCCGAGGCCTAGTCTTTGGGATGGCCTCTAACCTTGAGAACCCCTTGGCTCCTGGTTGGCCTGTGAGTCTTTTAGGTTGTTAAAGAACAGAGAGTGGCGTCCCCGGGAGAGCCAGGTCTGGGGTCAGCTGGATCACAAAGCATTTCAGACTCTGAGGAGGCAGTCCGGTGTCTTCACAGGAATGGCACAGACTTGCCTGTGGAGAGACCTGACCTCACCTTTGTCCTCATCGCCACAGGGGCCTTGACTGACAGTCATGCTCTGACTTGGTTTCCTTTTTGATGGCCAGGACTTGAGGATAAAGATAGCTCGTTCCAGACTCTGGAGTCCACGGAGGACTTTCAATGCTCTAAAGCTGCTTGCCACCTCTCCGTGAAGGCCATGAAGCAAACAGGACTTGTCATCCCCCTAACGAAAGTTCTGGAAGGTGCGGGCACCATGACGCTAGGTTCACCACAGCATTCTCCACCCAGAGGACTTTAGCACCAGCTAGACCCTGGCTAGGTCCCTGAACCCCAAGCTTCTGGGAAAGCAGCCTGCGAAGGTGGCATGAAGGTGTGGGTAGGTGATGGGAAATTCCTTTCGTGACCCTTTTCAGCAGTTGGGGAGAGTGGGTTCCCCTTGTGAGTCAGCACAGCCTGGAAAAGATCTGGTCTGGCTTCCCCGGAGACCCAGGGGTGAGTCATGCTGACTTCTTAATAGGCTTTTGTTTTTCCTCTGTTGCCCTGTGTCCCTGGGTTCAGTTTCACCGAGAGGGCTGGTGTGGGCAGGAAGGGACTCAGGACACTTCTGAGCTGTCATCCCAGGAGAGTCTCCTAGCCTCTCTCGGGTCAGACTGAGGCATAACCTAGGAAGCCAGGAAGAGCCTGTTCGGGGTCAGGAGATGGACAGAGTTCAGGGCCAGCTTTCCCAGGAAGTGAGGCTTATTATCAACACAGAGCCCTGGTCATGTTCAATGAGGCAAATGCTCAGTTTCAGGCCACCAGGATGGGGGAGCATGGCACTCACTTCCTGCTGCAACAGGATATCAAAACTGGGTGGCATAAAACAATAGTTTATTGTCTTAGAAATCTGGAGGCCAGAAGTTCAAAATCCAGGTGTGGACAGGGCTACATTCCTTCTGAAGGCTCTGGGGGTGGGTCCTTTGGTGTCACCCAGCTCCTGTGGCCCCAGGCATCCCTTGGCTATGGCTCTATCCCACCCATCTCTGCCTCTGTGGTCAAGTGGCCTCCTTGTCATCGCCATGTGTCCTTTTCCGGACACCAGGTATTGATTTAGGGTCAGTTTACCCCAGTGTGACCTCATCTTAACTAATTGCATCTTTAAAGAGCCCGCTGTTAAATAAGGTCCCATTCTGGGGTTCCTGGTGGGAGGGGACCTTGTATAAACTAGTACAGAGATGCTGGATAGGGATTCCTGCTGGGCAGTATAGTTTCCTCATCATTCTTCCCTCCCTTCCCTTTCTTCCTTCCTTCCTCTCTCTCTCTCTCTCTCTCTCTCTCTCTCTCTCTCTCTCTCTCTCTCTCTCTCTGAGACAGGGTCTCATGTAATAAAGGTGTGACTCACACTTGTTATGTAGTGAAGGATGTCCTTGAACTTCTGATCCTCTTTGCCTCCCCTTTCCGGATTACAGGTATGTGGACCTTATGCCTGGGATACATAGCACTGAGGATTGAACCTCATGTCCAGGCCAGCACTCTTCCCAACTGATATATACCCCTGGAACTTCCTTCCCCTTTTTAAGGTGAGGCCTACAAGACCCATCGAGGGGCATGGAGATGGGTGTCTGTCTGAGGGCAGTGGCTGGTGTGCTGTTTCTGGACAAGAACCAAACTAGCCTCTGGAGGTTGGACATTAAAGAGCCATCACCACAGACAGAAGCTAGTCTACCAAAACCTTAGGTATGGCTCTCCTGGGACCCAAAGGGTACGATGTGTCTACCCACAGCTGGGGTGCCCTACCTGCCAAGACTGATGCCTCCGTGGCAAACGCCATGGCGAATTCTCTGATGACATCAGCAGGGCTGTCGTTGATGAAGAAGCCGAGGTAGCTGATAGAAGAATGGAGAACAAGAGGAACCAGGGTAGGAAAGGAGCTCAGGATCCTGTCCCCTGCACGCCTCAGAGCCTCATACAAACACTCCACCTTATGGTCTTCACACTAAGGGAAGAGAAGCAGAGAACGTGTATCCTCAGTGTTCGCTGAATTAATTCACCTGTTGAGAATCAAGGCTTAATCACTATGGGCTGTTCTCCATCCAAGGCACTGGGATATTCCTATGCAGCCCCTGCAGTTATGGAGTAAAGGGTCACCACCCCCATATTTTCTGCTTGGTTATTTGAGGCATCTTGGGTAAGAGTCTCTCTGGAATATAATCTCCTTTACGTGCCTAGGTTGGAACTCCCCTGTCACTGTCCCCTGTCACCTCCCCAGTCACTCCTCTTTCCTTCTGTGCTCCTTGCTTGTCTTAGTGTGCGTGTGCTCGCTTCTGGAAGTCTCCAGTCGACTCGGAGGAAGCTCACGGTGTCCCATGGGCTCCCAGCTCAGACCCCCAGAAAGCAACGGTTTAGTTCTGTCCCCAGAGATCTCTCAGTCTCAGGCACACAGCGGTGCTTTGTGGATGCTTGGGAGGTGTTGTTTCCCAGGAGACAGCTTCTGGAAGCTTCCTTCTTGCACATTATGCCTTACGTTCCCCTAGCACCGTGGAGTGGCGGGAGAAGGCTCTGCCCGGCTGTCCCAAGATCAGGCGGGCCCTTCTCTAGCTCATCAGACAGAGATATAGAGGAAATGGCTTGGGGTCATCCTCCTTGTACTCAGACCTTCTCTTTGCCAGCAAGTGTGCATCCTCTTGTCTTGGCAATGGTACCTGGTACCTGGGGAGGCTGCTGACTTGACCTTTTTTTTTTTTTCCTCAGAGGGCCAGGCCCTGACATAGGGAAGACCCTGGTTATGTCCAACCCAAATCAGTACTCTTCAATACTTCAATATTGTCATCACACAGGGGGCTCTTCCTTTGTTCAGGACTTCACTAATCTCTGGGTAGTTAAGGACCAGGGCAGCATCTGCCTTCCTAAAGGGGTGTATCACCCTCATAGCACCCAAATGCACTCCTAGAGATACTGACAGAAAGACGCAGAGAGCCTGAGGTTGTACCTCCTTCTGCCTGGGGGAGCTGAAGACTCTAAAATGAATTGGGTCCTGAAGGATGAATTGAAGTTGGACAGAGAAAGGAAAACATCCCCACCAAGGAGCCAGCTCATGCTAGTGTCTTGATTAAAATAAATCAGTTGTGTTCTATTGCTGCCTAGTTATGAGAGACAATTGGCATCAGCCGCAATTGGTGAGCGCGGAAAGGCCTCTGGGGTGGACTCACCGTGAAAAAGTCACAGAGTGTCACGTGAGGGAAGACCTCATGAGCTCTGTTCTTCGCACACTGGCGCTTGCTCTCCCTCCAGAACTCTTGGAGTTTTTCCAGCAAGGGCCCTGTGGGGCAGAGGAAGAGGGCGTACTCCTGGGGGATGGGGTCATCCAGAGAAGGGTCACTGCCGTGGCCATGCAGCCTGCAACAGAAAACACCATCCTATCAACTGGAGCTGTCCCCATCGAGGACATGCGACAGCAGGGACGCCAGCTCAAAGTTAGAGGCATGCCGCTCTCACGTAAACACATTGGTGCTGTGGCCATCCCTTAAAGATAGAGTCCCGTGGTGGAGCTGTGTGGCTCCAGGCTAGACCAATGCATACCTGTTCTCAGCCCCATTATAGTCCGCCAACGCAACCAAAGACAGTGGGGCTCAGACCCCGGTCTTCGGAAGAGTCCTGGTCTAGGTACCTTTGTGGTATAGAAACACGGAAAATTTTTCACATTTTAACTTCACCACAGACTTCAAATTAAGTGAAAAAATTGAAACCACAGAAGACTGGACAAAATTTAGGTGAATACTGCTGTTTTTTTTGGGGGGGGGACTCAAGAAATATTTAGATTAAAAGAGCGTTTATTTATTTATTGAGGCAGATCTGTCCACATACCAGGTGGGTCTGGTGGTGAGTCTGCTCCTCTGGGCCCTCCTCACTGCTGGGGTTACAGGTGTGAGCCACCACACCTGGCTAAGAAAATCACTCTAAAGACAAGAAAACTGGATGCACAGCACCAAATAGAAGTTCATCACAAAACAGGTAAAAACGGAAAAGACACAATTTCTCTTTATTGGTCAAGTTAACGTAGGTGTCTATTTCAAAGGTTCAAGGCTATTTTCCATGTGTCTGAAGTGCAGCAAGACCACAGGCTACAGCTCTGTAGCCCTTACTTAGCCGGCACGTGCAGAGGAAAACACTCAGTGTCTTCATAATCCTGCCCTAAGACATTTGGTTGTCCCCTGGAGAAGGAGCAAGAAGCACAGGCCAAAATTCACATGGGAAAATCCCTATAAGGCAATAGCTAGGCTGTAGTTAGCTTGCTTAGCACCCATGCATTGCAATCACAGCTTTGGAGAACTCCCTGTGACGGACACTTGCCTGTGATGTCACGTTAGGGCTAGGAAGTGTGGTGCTGTCACTGGGCCGACACCTTGTGTGTAAACCCATTCCCTTGATGGTGGTGTTGAAAGGGGAGGGGCCTGCACACCTCTTGGCTCCCTTGGTGCCTCTTTCCTGAGTTCACCCCAATGGTGTATTTGCAGCAGGTCCATGGAACACGTGTGTGTTTGTATCCATCATGAGCTCTTTCGTGTGGAGAGCAGACATCTAGGTACATTGCCAGTGTGAGGCTTTCCAAGGCTGCCTCACGACCATCTTACACGTACAGAACATTGCTTCCAGCTATTTCCAAACCCAGGGACGTTTCATTTATTTATTTATTTTTGTCGGAGCTGAGGACCGAACCCAGGGCCTTGCCCTTGCTAGGCAAGCGCTCTACCACTGAGCTAAATCCCCAACCCCTCCAGGGACGTTTTAACTGCTTTCACTTTTCCAAAGTTTCCAGCACAGTGATCAAGGTCTCCCTGTGTATCTGATTTTTTAAGATCTCTGCACAGAGGTGGAACTGTGTGGAGCTAGGTGGTCAACTTCCCATGTTCCCAGTGCTGAAGGACACTGTACACTGCCTTCCACAGACATGAGCGGCTCCCACCTCCTCCCCCTCCCAACAGCATCAAAAGTACTTTTTGATTTAATGGTGTAATCTGTGCTTCCCTAGTTCCTGTAGGATGTCAGGACTGCTCTCAGATAAGTGCAGGGGACCTGGCTTCATTCCTCTTCCTTGGTGAGTCTCATTGGCCAGGCTGTTACTGGCAGGTGACATCCAGGCCCCTCCCAGCACTGAGCTTGGCTTATAGTGTATAGTTTGAATCTGGAGGCTGGGACTCTGGGCATTCCCCACATCTTGTCGAGACCCTGCTTGTCCACCCTCAGTCTGCAGTCGGACTGCCAGGACTCTGGGCATTCCCCTCTCCAGTGGAGGCCCTGAATGTGTGCCCTCTGCTTACACGCCCTCTGCCTGCACACCCTCCGCTTGTGCACACTTGGCCTGTGGTCTTATAGGAAGAGGCTCTCCTAGAACACAGAACCCCGAGATCCATTCACAGGCTTCTACCCAGTGCTGGAAGAATTTTTGTTTTGTTTTGGTAAGGCTGGGAATGGAGCCTGGGATGGTAAATATTGGCTGTTCATTTGCTCGACTCTAGAATCAATCCTAAAGCCACGTGCCGGGCTTGTCCATGAGGGAACTTCTAGGCTGGGTCCACTGAGGAAGGAAGACTCAACCTGAATGAGTGGCACCATCCCATGGACAGGGGTAGGGGGCTGAGTAAAATGGAGAGAGTGAGCTGAGCACCAGTGGGGTGTGTGTGTGTGTGTGTGTGTGTGTGTGTGTGTGTGTGTGTGTGGTACCTGAGTGTGCTTCATGCATTCATTTCTCTCAGCTTTCTCACTGTGGATACGAAGAGACCAGCTGCCTCACACTCCTGCTGCATGGCTTTCCCGCCATGACGGAGTGCACACCCAAACACTCCCAGATAAGCCTTTCTTCTCTAAGTTGCTCTTGTCAGGCATTTGATCTCAGCAACAGGAAAGGAAACTAACATAGAACCCAGGTCCCCATGCATGCTCAGCTCACTCGGCAAGCCCTCAGCACGGAGCCATAGCCAAGCCCAGGATCAGCTTTTTGCTGTTTGGTTTTCACTGTGGCTACTTCAGATAAGAGCAGGAGGGACTTCCCAGGGGGTGGAAGGATGGTGTCATGTTACACCAAGGCCGGGGAGGAGCTCCTAAAAATAAGGATCCCCACCCCTCAAAGGCAGGAGGCTGAGGTGATGGGCAGGTGGCTGGAGTGGGAGTTAAGGAGGGGTCATCCTTCCCTAACCCCCTTCCAGGTGTATCCCAAGATACCATGGGGATTCAGGACTGTCTTTAAATTCTCCCATCTGCAGTGGTCTGAGAGTGTGGTGATTTTTTTTTTTTTCTTTTGAGACAGGGTTTCTCTGTGCAGTTTTGGTGCCTGTCCTGGATTTTGCTCTGTAGACCAGGCTGGCCTTGAACTCACAGAGATCTGCCTGACTCTGCCTCCCGAGTGCTGGGATTAAAGGTGTGCGCCACCACCACCTGGCCAGTGAATTATTTTTTAATTTTTTATTTTTATTTTTATTTTTTTGTTTTTCTTTTTTCTTTTTTAAAATTTATTTATTGTGCATACAGTATTCTGTCTGCATGTATGCTTACAGGCCAGAAGAGGGCACTGGATCGAATTATGGATGGCTGTGAGCTACCATGTGGTTGCTGGGAACTGAACTCAGGACCTCTGGAAGAGCAGACAGTGCTCTTAACCGCTGAGCCATCTCTTCAGCCCCCTTGTTTGTTTATTTTTGGTTTTCTGAGTCAGGGTTTCTCTGTGTAGCTTTGTGCCTTTCCTGGAACTCACTCTGTAGCCCAGGCTGGCCTCGAACTCACAGAGATTGGCTGGGATTAAAGGCGTGCGCCACCACCCCCAGTGAATTTTTTTAAAATTTATTTTTAATAAATGATATTAGTTATCAATTCAATAATATATTTATGATATTCATTAATTACATTAATTGTATTGATTTATTACATTCATGATATTGTGTCCTGATACTACTGTCCATTTGTGGGGTTTTTCCATCACACAAAACAGAGATTCTATATTTAGGAAATCGTTGCTCTATATTCCTTTCTTCCCTGTCTTGAGATAACATCTAATCTTTCTGTCTCTATGAATTTGTATATTCTATATATTTCATGTAATACAATTCTATAGTATTTGTCCTTTTTTTTTTAATGTAAAAGCATTTTATGTACAACTACAGGAGAAATAATACTCAGATAGCCTGAACATAAAAACAGGTTATAATTTACAAGTCCAAGGTTATTTTAAATAGTAAAATATTTTCTCTGTAGAAAATAGTATAAATGATAACATTTCCCAATAAGCCCCTTTAAGCCAAATGATAGCTGAATTACACATATAAATACTGATTAGATTCTGGGATACAGAAGAGACCTATCTTCATCTGTTCAGAGAGCTGTGTTTTACTTAAGTTGTGTAAGTGAGATTCCTATTCATCTTCCCCTTCCTTCACTGTTTGATTTTCAGCAGACATTTTTCTATAGGCTAATCCATAATCTAAAAAGATTTTAGCCTCGTTTTGCTACACTTCATAGACAACCCCCCCCCCCCCGAGGGCCCACCCAGGGAACAGAGTCCGGGTGGCAGTCCCCCCAGCCCCCATAGGCCTGCAGCTCCCGTCCCACTCACCAGTCCGCAGCCTCCTCTGCGGTCTTCCTCCCTGTGGCTGCGAGCGCTTTGAGCCTGCGGATCGTGAACACAGGATGGTCAAAGCCCAGTTGTTTTTTTCCTTTGGAAGGGGTGAGTTCTAATAGTGAAGTGGCTGCTCACCCATGCTGTGTCCTACCGGGGCCATGCCAAGATCTCCATCCCCCCCGCCCCCCCATAGCTGAGGATCGAACCCAGAGCCTTGCGCTTGCTAGGCAAGCGCTCTACCACTGAGCTAAATTCCCAAACCTGATCTCCATCTTTCACACAGTGATTCGTGTCCCAACTCGCCCCTGTCACCCCCACCCCCTTCCCATGGTTTGACCTCTTCTTCCTGGGCCCTGGAGTCCTAGAACTCAAGACCTCTGTCCTCTCTTGCTTTCTCTCTGCACCCTGCTACCCTGCAGCAAAGCCCAACCCTATCTACCTGTGGCTGCTAAAGTCAGCTGGGCCAGGCTGTACTCCTGGCTCTCATGTGCCTCCCTGACACATGCAGCCCCACCCCAGTTGCTCAGCAGGAAGCATCCCTTACCCAACCACTGGGCAGACTGGTCCACATCCCTCTCCTGTGTCCCCCACTCTCAAATGCTCATTGGGGCTTTCCTCGGGGCTCCATGTGTCTTATTCATTCTGGGACCTGGGATGTAGATGTGTTGACTTGAGTTTGGCTGAGGTAGGCTAAGCAGAGCAGAGTGGCCCATAGATCCAGCAGTCATTGGCTGATACCACGGTCCCCAGTGGAACCCAACGTGGTGCTACCCAGCACTACAGCTATTTGTGTGAAGAGCAGTGGGGATGTAGCCACACGGAGAGGCCATGACAGAGAGGCCATGCCATGAGCCCTACTCCGAGCCCCGCCTAAGTAAGAGCTTGAAGACAAGCAGGTGTTTATTGTTTGAGCTAGCAGGGATTTTGAAGGCGAGCCCACCACACAGCTTGAGCAGCAAAACAGTGGCTCTAGGAGGTATTGGGAGCTGGTTCCTGTGCTAGGCTTGCCACAGGCTATTCTTTAGGCTGTTGCTGTTTTTTTTTTAAAATTTAATTTTATTTTAACTCTTTTGGGGGCCCCTGATACCCAGTTCCCAAATAAATCACACATGGAGGCTTATTATTACTTGTAACTGCCCAACCTTAGCTTGGCTTGTTTCTTGCCAACTTTCCTTAAATTATCCTGTCTACCTTCTACCTCTGGACTTTTCTTGTTTTCTTTTTCTGTATACCTTTCTTTCTTACTCCATTACTGGTTGGGTAGCTGGCACCTGATGATCTTCCTCCTTCTCTGGATACTTTTTTTCTCCCAGATTTCTTCTTCTATTTATCCTCTCTGCATGCCAGCCCCACCTATTTCTCTCCCCTGCTTCACCATTGGCTGTTCAGCTCTTTATCAGGTGTTTTAGACAGGCACAGTAACAGAGCTTCACAGAGTTAAACAAATGCAACATAAACAAAAGTAACACAGCTTAAAATGATATTCCCCAACATTAGGCCTTGGTATTCTCATCTGCAGCGGGATGGTGAACATGTGACTGATGGACTGGGTTCTGTTCCCCATTTGGTGACAACAAAGCCCTCCTGATATTAGGAGAAGGGACTAGCTTCAATACTGTGTCCTCTGCAGTGGCCAGGGTCTTTTTATCTCATTGAAGGTTGCGTTTGGCTCACTCCCTGAGCCCTGGGCTCCCAGAAGCACACTTACTTGTGTCTCCCTAGGAATAAGGACTACAGCTAAGAACCGGGCTTGCAATGGATGATGTGACCATGGTCAGCAGTATCTCTGCCCTCTCTGTGCATGGGGACTTGGACGAGCCAGGTGGTGCCCAGGCTGGCCATCTCCGGAACTTCTCACCTATTCTCTTTTGTTACCGGACATTCCAGATATTTTCCCCTAGAGACAAATGGTTTTCCCTGGGCTGCTTAGAAACTCAAATGGTAGTTCTATCAGGGGGTCCTAGCCACAGAAGCTCATATCAGAGTCAGAGACCTTGAACCTCACCTTTGGAGTCACTGATCTGCAGGAGTTACATCTGCCCTCACTCTCCCCCAAGCTCCACAAGTGGGCAGCCGGAGACCCACATGGCTTCCACTGTGCACGTGTTTCAGGGTCTCTATCAGTCAGGGGGAAGAGCTGCTCCTTCTAGGGTCAAGACCATCCCATGTATAAACAGGAGGAAGGGGCCCTCTTTTGAGACACCATCTCTCACTGTAAGGTGACCACTTTACCAGGAAGTCAGCAACATCTGCTTATCAAGTAGCCGTGGCAGGTGGTGCAGGGGAGGGGTCTATCCGGGCAGGGAAGCCAGGCTGTAGGGCCTTGGCAGCTGCAAGTACTCACGCGGTGTGTGTGGGGAAGCCCATGGCTAGGAGGGGGTCCAGGAGCGAGGAGGTGTTACGGCCCTTGAGCTTGTTGGAGACCTTGGCGTAGAGCTGTGTCTCCCCAGCAGCCATGTCTTCCTGCTTACTGGGCAAGAGGCGCCTGCTCACTGCAAGGACCAGATAAGGTGAGATCGGCGGCGAAGAAGGCAGGCGGAGGCTGTGAAGAAAAACCTCAAGGCTTGTTTGATCTTCCTGACACAAGCGAATATCCTGTTTGCACAATGATTGGGCTTGAATTCTCCTGGTGGGTCCACAGCGGCGTCTTCCAAGCCCAGCTGCTTCCACAGCGGGGTCTGCCCTCAAGTTCATCACTGGGATCTGCTGTGTACCTGGGAAGCGTTTGGGAGGAGGGATATCTGAGAAGGTGGAGGAAGCAGAAGTCTGGAGCAGGCTTCTCTCGTGGGTTCCGCCGGGCACCCACCCCAAGCCACCCTGGACCTTAGCCTCCATGTCTGCAGACAAGACCCTGAAATTCACTCCTTGCACTATCTATCCCTGCTTGCTGTAAAATCTTAGAAAAAAAATTTTTTTTTAGTTTTTATTGGCCTTTTTTTTTTTTAAAGTAAGAACTTTTAAAGTCCAGTGCTATGTACGTAGCATGAGGAATTTCCATAAAGTGAGCATATTCCCTCTCTCCCCCAGGACCAATGAAACCATAATGTAAAACCTAGGACATTTTAGTTTCACGCCCCTCTCTAAAGGGACAGTTGGCAGTGTCTGGAGACATCTGTGGTTGCCAAAATCTGAGAGGGGCAGGAACATGGTGACAACTAGTGGATGTCAACCACAGCTGCCGCCAGCTGCCACGGTACCCAGGACAGTCTGTACAGCAAAGGGTGAACTTGTCCAGTGCAAGCAATGCAGGTTATGAAACCCTGTTCCAGAACTTTCCATTCCCTCGGAGGATCTGCCCCACCCTGGCTCTTCTTGTGGGTCCCCCTCCCCCACAAATCTCCTCATGCTGCTAGAACACTGGAACACATGTGGTGTCATGGCATGCTTCTTTTCTTTCTTTTTTGGGGATGTGTGTCAGGAATTGAACTCAGGGTCCCAACCATGCTAGGCAAGTGCTTCAACCCTTTGGCTCTTCATGTCCTGATTCTTTGCTTGAAATGATGACTATGGGAGTTATCCATGGTCTTGCTTGCTCTGTAGTTCATTCACTGCTGTCGCTAAATAACATCCTGCGAGACGGCGTCTTTTTCCTCCATTCTTTGCTGATGTACATACAGGCAGAGGTGACAGTCTGCCCTCTGGCCAGCGGAGGATGGGAGGCCTGGCGTTTTCAGCCCTCTGGTCTGTGTGCAGAGGCATCTCACTGCGGTTGGAATTTGCATTTCCCCGAAGGACTAGGACACCAGTGCTGTGGCACGGGCTTACTGGCCTGGGGTTAGCCTCTCTGGGGGAAGAGTCTGCTTGGATCTCCCTGCTCGTTTCCGCCCTTGGGCTGCTGGGTTTTATTTTATTTTATTTTTTCAATCACTCTGTGGAAGCTCTGGTCGGCATCTTCTGCCCCCTGTTTGAGAAAACGTTGTTTATCCGCATGGGTGAACATGGCGTCTTCCTCTCTGTTCTAGAAAGTTTGCTGTTGGGGCCATTCCTGTTTGGCTCAGTGCCGGTTAGAAACCACTTTGTGTATGGTGTGAGGTCAGGCTAAAGGTTCTTTATTTTCCCTTTGACAAGACCAGTATATGCCAGTGGATTGCCAGCTACGTGACCAACAGATGTCGTTTGCTTCTGGCTCTGTCGTGTTCTCTCGTCTGATTTATTCATTTTTGTGTTCGTTCATTCTTTAGGCACGATGGTGTGGGAGTGCTCTGATTTTGTGTCTATGAGACTGTTCTACATTCTTAGCCACATGTGCACCGTGGAGGGTGCCGATGACTCACATACATGTCAGTCACCTGTCAATAACCAGGCACTGTAATTCCCCGGAAGGAGCTGCTGTTTCACTAACGGTGCTGGGGAACTGCACAGCATGCATGGAGTTCGTTCAAAATGGAGGACCGGCTTAAACGTAAAATCTGAAACTTCAACCCTCCCCCACAAAGAAAGCCTAGAAGAAAAATGCATGTTGTGTTTTAGGGTACAGAGCTTTCTTAGGGCATAACAAGCATAATCCATGATCTTTTATTGTTCCACATTGGGCTTCATCAAAGTCGTAAACGTCTACTCTTTGAAAAGTATCATAAAGGAAACGAAAGAAAAGGTAAGCCACAGAGTGGGAGAAAATGTTCTCCGCCTACGTACTTGGTCTGATACCCAGAATATACAGTGTATATGCAAAGTATGCATGCTTACAGCTAAGGAGAGAACCAATAAGCAAGTTTGAAATTGGGACACCATCTAAATGACACCTGACAAAGAAGACTTGGGAGCAGTTGGGAAGGATGTCCAGCCTCACTCATAACTGAAGGATGTAAATAAAGACCCCAGCACATATCCACAGTACCAGCTAGATTTGGTGCTAAAGTCAAAAGGACCGACAAAGTCAAGCTTTAACGAGATGAGGAAATGCTTGAAACACCCACGTTTTTAGTGAGATTATTATTTGTCCAACCACTTTGGAAAACATGTTGACACTATGTCTTATAAAGATCAACCAACATACACTGACTCCGTGACCAATTCTGATCTGAGATTTTACCAGGGAAAAGTGAAAATGTGTGCCCCCACAAAAAAAGTCTTTAAACATCCGCAGTGGCTTTACTTATCATAGTCCCAAACTGGAAATGATCCAAATAGTCCAAGTGAAACCCAACTGCTAACAGACACACACAGTCATGAGCTTATGGAGCGGTGATCACCCACAGGAAGAATCATTGCCCTCTTTCTGGCAGTGTGAACAAACAGAGGAGCTTATCACACTGAGTGCCAGGGGCCAGGCGCCATCACACTTGCTGTGTGGATTTATTTAGGTGCCATTTTAGACAAGATAAGATTGAGCTACAGTTTCAGAGAGCAGATCAGCGGTTGCCTGAGGTAGGGTAAGAGTGAGTTAAGGGCTGAGGGAATTGACTAAGTAGTGTTTATACAAGTGACTTTTCTTTTTTTCCAAGATTACCAAACTGAGTATTTAGAAAGGGCGCCTTTTGATGAAACTGATTTTAAGAAAAGAGAAATGAAAGGAATGCTAAAGACAAAAAAAACTGATGCATTAATTTATTGATTTTTGCCAGAAACAATCTGTGAGGTTAGATTGAATCTGCATATCATTTGAGGAGAATTGACATTTTAATAGTATTATGTCTTCAATGCCAGGAATATGGTTTAGCTCTCTACTTAATTTCTTCCAGTAGTGTTTTGTAATTTTCAGGTTTTTTCTTTTTTTTTTTTTAAGGTTTATTTATTTATTTATTTATTTATTTATTTACTATACAACATTTTGCCTGCAGCTATCCCTGCGGGCCAGAAGAGGGCACCAGATCTCATTATAGATGGTTGTGAGCCACCATGTGGTTGCTGGGAATTGAACTCAGGACCTCTGGCACAGTAGGGTTGCTCCTTCCCCTCCATCTTTGTGTAGGTTCTAGAGATCAAACTCAGGTGATTAGGGTTGTACGACAAGTACTTTACCCACTGAGCCTTGCTGGCTCCTTCAGTTATGTTTTTGTGCTATTATAAATTATATATCTCTATCTCTCTACCTACCTACCTACCTGTCTGTCTGTCTGTCTATCTATCTATTTATCTATCTATCTATCTAATATATCTATCTATCTACACAGGCTTTCATATAGCTCAGGTTGGCATTAAACTCATTATGTAGTTAAGTATGACCTTGAATTCCTGATCCTTCTGCCTCTACTTCCTAAATTCGTAGATTCTAGGAGTGTACCACTATATCTGGTTTTAAATAATATTTAAATATATATTTAATCTTTATGTGCATGGGTACTTTTGTCTACATGAGTGTACGCACACCACATGCATGTCTGGTTCCCATGGAGGCCAGAAGAGGGCGTCAGAACCCCTGAAACTGGAATAACAACCAGTTGTGAGCTACCATGATAATGTAAACTACCATGTGGATTTGGGGAACTGAACCCAGGTTCTCTGGAAGAGCAGCCAGTGCTCTTAACTGCTGAACCATCTCTCCAGCCCCCTGTAAATGATGCTTTAAAAACACTATCTATTCCTAATTGTTGGCAGTGGTAGAGAAGTGTCACTGATTTTTGTATAAGGATCTTGCTAAGTTGATTTATCACTCCTAGAACTCCAGGGATTCTTTGGTATTTTCTACAGACATCATGTGACCTGATCTCCAAATAAATAACAGTGGCTTTCGTCTTCATTTCAAACTGTTCTTGTAATATTTGGGCTGTATATGATTTTATTGTGCCATAATTTGCCATATTATTCCAGTGAAGGCAAAATTGGCTTCTCAATGCTAAGTCAACCTTGTTTCCTAGGGTTAATCCTCAAGTCCCAACATGCTTTTCTATAAACGTATATGCAATATGCGTGTGTATGCTTATGCATTTTGCTTTCGGGGACTCAGTGTACTGACACTTGATTAAGGGGGTCTGTATCTGTGCCTGTGAACTCGCTTGGCTGACTCCTTTTGTTTTTGTTTTTTTTTCAAGACAGGGTTTCTCTTTGTTTGTGTTGGTTTTTTCCTTTCTTTTTATTTGTTCAATGTGTCTTTCACATCATGCATCTTGATCCCTTTCATTTCCCTGTCCCTTTGCATCCACCCTCTGCCCCTGCAACCCCCACCCCCACAAATAAAACAAAATTTAAGAGAATTTAAAATCTCATCATGGAAGCTGCCATGTGACACAGTGAGTCACACAGTAAGTCCCTTTTTGTCCATGTAGCTTTACTTGCAAGTGTTCATTTCAAAGACCCGAAGCTGCAGGATCTCCACAACACAGGGCGACAACGGGATATCCAAGAAGAGTCTCTGCGAGGGCCCAGCATTGATGGCGCAGTAGAAACCAGACCAGGGTTTCTCTGGGTAGCTCTGGCTGTCCTGGAACTCACTCTGTAGGCCAGGCTGGCCTCGAACTCACAAGATCTACCCACCTCTGCCTCCGGGGTGCTGGGATTAAAGGCATGCCCCACCACTATCTGGCGTATTTCTTTTCTTGTGGTGTCTGAGTCAGGTGATCCACACCTGGATTGCCCCTGGACTTTGTAGGTTTTGGTGCTCAAAGCTTGCACCCCTGCAGATCAGGGCTGGGTGCCCCCCTCAGGACCAGTCTTCCCATAGCCTAAAGAATGAGCGAAGAGGCGTCTCCCTTTCTCCCAGTTATCTGAATTTTTGTAAGCACCGTATAATTTCTCTTTTTAAAAAATATTTGTACAAATTTGTCAGTCAAATGTCCTGGGCCTAGAAGTTTCTTTACTGGC